CAACGATTTTAAAATTATTTATTATTTATAAAAATAATTTAATATTATTTATTTTTACAGCATTCTTTACGCCGATATCGTCAACTTCACGCCTCTATCTGAACAACTGACTGCTTCGGATCTGGTCAAAACACTCAACGAACTCTTTGGTCGTTTTGATCAGCTTGCTCATGTAAGTAACATTTACACACATTACCATATAGTTGTATATTATACTATAAACCTACGGCCTCGAGGCCGCATGTATCCCCTTTACTTTGCTTTATCTTTATTATTCTAGAGTTATAAATAAGTAATATTTAATTACTTAGTTTATGAAAAATTGAAAATATATATTTTTTTTAAACTTATTTATTGAGAAATATTACAAACTGTCACAATTGAGGACATTTATAATAGTGTTCAGAAAGCACATTCACACTCTTTTACAATAAATAAATCAGAAAAATAATAATACTAAAAGTAAATGTATATAAACAAACTAAACTAATCAAAATGACAACTTAAACACGACTATATTATTATACAGTATTTACAGAATTCATTAACCCCAAGCCAGGCGGTTCCCTCGACATGTAGAAGGAAAGGCAGGACTCTAGGAAAAAATAGAATTAAGTTGAACATATGTGTGTAGTTTGTATTCACATTTAAACAAAAATAGCAGCAGTAAAATATTTAAAAAAATATATCGGCCTCTATTATCAATGTCTATAATAATAAAAAGCTTCCCCGCCATATGCAATTAGGTCACAAAATCAAATTGGAGATTCTACTTTCATTTACAATAAAAATAAATTCATAAACTTCATATGATTCTTTGTATGACATCCGAAAAGATAATTAATTCTTTCTGTTACTTTTTCGTTTCTTTTCTGAACACTACATTTTATATTGTATATATACATAACACTATGTGCTTGAACATAACAGTAATTGTGTATTAATAAATCATTGTGCCATTAAATACGTTTCATTTTTTTTCTTTCTAGACCACAGTATTATTGCTAACAACAATTTGATTTTTTTTTCTTGATGCAACGAAATATCAATAGGATTTGTCCCTATGTGACGTTATTTCCTTTATTTATTTGTAAGAAAGTTTTGAAAATTTAAACGAATAACTTCGGATATGAGTGTTTCATTGAAAATCCAAGTATTTCATACTCATTCAATAAGCAAACTTTTGATTGGTTTGATTATGCAAAATAATTTAAACCTAATATTCACTGGGAAAGAAATATTATGTTTTCTTATATCTGATTGGAAAAAAAATGTTAAGCATGAATTTAATGTTTACATGAAAAATATGTAAGAGTTCAATCCATTTGAAATCACCTAGACATGTTGCTGAACATTTTTGATTTTTATAATTTTATTACCAGTTACTCCAAATTTATTTGAGAGTTAAAACAAGTTTTGGGAAAATGCCTGTAGCTCTGGTTGTTATGTAGATATCAAGTCAAAATAAAAACTGAAATATTTTAGAGTATTTTTTCTATATTTCTGTTGATCAATATACTAACTAATAAGAAAGGAAGGTGGTTTGAAAAAATCATGAAAATAGACAAAAAAAAAGTGACTTTTAGAGTTGCAAAAGTGTAATAATGAAAAGAGTCTCGACTTTAATTTTTTCTTCATATGTAGTCTTACAACTGTACTTGTTGCTGATGAAATTTCAATCTTGAAAACCTTGTCCTTTTTTAATTGTGAATTTTCAAAAACGCTCAAAAGTCGTTTTCGGCGATTTTTGATGCTATATATCACAAAAGAGACTGAGTGAAAAATTATTAAATTAATACAGTTTATATCTCTTTGTGATGGGAATGTGTGTATTTGCTCATTGAGACTCAACAGTTTTATAAGTAATTTTGAACTCATAAAAGATAAAGTAATAAAGGATATATACATTTAAAGAAAAGAATATATTAACAACTTTTTGTTTCCAATTGTTGTCAATTTTCTTATAGAACGAAAAGTCATCGTGTTCAAAAGACGACTTAAAATATTTTTTTCGATAATAGGCAATTTAAGTTAGTGAATATCTCGAAAACTGCAAAAGATGCGAAAGTAATGAATAAATACTTTGTTAAAGAAAATGTTGTCAGTTTTAATTTTTTATACGAGAATGTTTTGTCTGCCTCGACGCCTCATCCCTCATTCCTCTCCCCCTCCTCACAAGTGCCCAAACAAATTCCCAAAGTCAATTGTTAATCCATCTTCCATGTACTCTACAACTTCTTTGACTGGACTAATGAGCCTTGAAACGTTAATGGACTCCATTCGTTTAATATGAATCTAAGAATAATAATAACAAATAATTTTATTAATTAGGCAGCCAAGCACGGGGATGAAATATATTTATATATTATGGTCATCAACTATTTCTAATTGCAGGAAGTAATTAATTTTATCATTATTTTTTCCGATCTAAATATGGAGCCCGGATGAAGGAAATCGGAGCGATAGAATATTTTATTCCACGGCCCGTAGCTATCCCTCCAGATTAGTTATTGCTTCATTTCAAGCCACCTTGACTGCTTTTGACGCACGGCAGAGAACTGTATGTGGCTTCTAAGGTGCTATGCATGCGAAATCAGTATAAGTCAATGAGGGTCTATTTTTAAGTTCCATTCATCTGACATTGGTCCAAGACAAGACTGAGCTAGATGATAGTATGGTCTCGTAGCCTACCTATGGAAATTTGTATGCAGTATATGTTACCGTACTAAAATTCAAGATGTTAATTGTAAAAGAAAGAAACGGACAAGAGATTGATAGAATATTTATATTTCAATTACTCAAAAGGTTCAATGACTGATACTATTTATTGATTTTTAAAAAAATTGGATTAATATGAAGGTGTTCAAAATGCGAAAAAAAAACAAGTAAATCGCAACCCTCTCAAAATTTTGAATATAATATAATTTTAAAATATTCCAACCATCAATTGGTTGACTAATTTTCATTTCTAACAAACCATACTTCAAATTACGATAACTCATAAATAAAAATATGGATTTTGAAATTAAAACTCTAAGTAATTTAATTTCTGCTGCTTTATCTATAAATATGCATTAATACTATTGGCACATTTAATTATCATGAACAACACTTGTGTGTTATTTTTTGATTTTTTTAAATAGGTTAAATTGCTTTATTTAAAAAAATATCAGGTTAAAACTCAGCCACAATGAAACTCTCCTAGCTTTCTTCTGTTACATTATTTGTCTCTGTTTTAAGTAAGGAAATAATAACAACTGATTTCCGATCCTTTTAATAATAAATCAAAGACAAACCCAAAAACTTTTGTTCTCAGTTTTAATGTACTAATAATTAGACTAGAAAACTAATTTATGTTTTTTATATTTAGTACCATAATATGTTTTGTTATTATAATAATTTTTAGGCCGATAACACTAAATAGTTCTCTTCATTCATATTCTTTTTCTGAGGCTTTTTTCTATTTGAAGCCATTTTCAGTTCTTCGAAAATATATTTTTGTCATCACTTAAATTTCGATTTATTCATAAACATCATTTCTTCAATCCCTTGTCTGTGCACACATAATTTTACAACATACAGAATAAATGAATGAAGTTTGTTAAAACTTTTGGCCTAATATTTTATTTAAATAATTTATAGAAAATAAATGTCTCTTTTGATTAATTTTTTGGTATTTTATTAATAATACAATGTTTTTATACTTAATTTACAATGTATGCAAGGTTATATTAATTATAACACAATATATCGTTAACCTATGACTTCTTGTCGTATAGTACAGTATCCTGTCCTACAGTATCCTTTAATAATATCCCACTTATCCCTGTTGAACACATCCGATACCTTGGACTTCAGTTGGACAAACGCCTAACCTGGAACCCCCATACCAGACTGACGCGACGTTTTCGACTACTGCAGCACTTACTAGACAAACGCTCTAAGCTTCCAGGTTATTATAAAAAAAACTGATATACATGACTACAATAAGACTTATTTGGACTTCCGGAGTTGGGATTTGGTGCTCCACAAAGCCATCGAATCCCTCTCGTATCCAATCGTTATAATCCGAAATCCTTCGTAAAATCCTCAATTCTTCTTGCTTTGTCACTAATAAAATCATCCACAACGACCTTAATGTTCCTTATGTTTTCGATTTGGCCCAATCCAGATACCTATCCTTCGATAATAAACATCAGAACCTTTCAAACCCTATCGTTTCTAACCTTGCTTCCTCTTTGATCCCTGATAACCCTCCGATCTGTCTGAAAAGAAGATGGCTTCGAGATCTCCTATTGTAAATACATTTTTTAGAGTGCTACCAGAGGGTAGTTTTTCAACACGTGTTTTCATGTTATTATTTTCTGTTATCATTTACACATTTACTGAATGTATTTTTATTCTTAATATAGAGAGTTAATATATAATAATACAATATTTTTTAGATGTAATTTACAATGTACATAAGTTTATATTAATGCTTCATTTAAATTACAATATTTTTATTATTTTAATTTTACCTATTTTTAGCATCATTTTTCATAAATTCAAGATCATTTTCCACCAATGTTTTATTTGCTTTATATCATTTTTTACTACGTTTAGGATAGTTCTTGGGCCATTTTCAAGTCTTTAATCACAAACAAGTGAATCAGATAAATAAAAATGAATAGTCACATTTTACTTTATCTTAGCTAAAGAAAAAATAATGACTATGGTTAGGACTAGTGAAGACTGATTTAATACTTGAAAATAGCCCTGAATTTATGAAACTTGAATACAATATTTTTAGTAAAAATACAGTTCATTAATTTTTTTATACATTGATATTTACAACTTTATTATAAAAATAAATAAATACATTTATAAAATGTGCACTCAGGAATATAATAATATGAAATCGCTTGTTAAGAAACTACCCACTGGTAGCACTCAAATATCACTAATGAAAATGGTTACTTATGATGACAATTTTTAATTATCCATCGTTCTTTCAACATATGTCTCCGTGTCACAAAGCCACCGCATTTGTGAAGCGATTGGATCCAGATTCAACTAGATATGTAAGATCCAGGGACTCACAGCAATTTCTGTTAGCATCAGTTTCAAAATTCATCTGTGATGATGTAATTCCAATTTTCAAAGTACCATTTCATTTTAATTATTTATTTTGTGAGTAAAATCCGATAACCACGTCATTGTTATCTGATACAAGATCGAAGATTGCAACTTCGGTAATGAAATACCCCACCATATTTCCTCTAGCTGCAATTTTCCACTGAGGCTAGGTACAGCCTCATCAGATGATAGCTCATTTCCATAACAAAGAGCTCTGTGGCCACCACGTGTTATTGGATGTGTTCACCAATCACTAATTTACATTCATGGGGTTGCCTAGATATTTACCTATTTAGCATATTATTTACATTTTACACATGAGAAGGAAGGGTTGTCTCAGTTCCTTTCTAAATTTGAGAGTAGCTTTTATCTCTTTCTGTGTCAATATGTAATTATTATAATTTTTTTTTCATATGCTTAGTCGAACAATGAGAGTAAAAACAAAATGGGAGTGGGAGAGATAGACAGAGGGAGAAAGGGGTGTGGAGAACGCGAGAGACGGAGTGAGAGAGGTAGAGAGCTAGCGACATATATATATATATATATATATATATATATATATATATATATATATAGAGAGAGAGAGAGAGAGAGAGAGAGAGAGAGAGAGAGAGAGAGTGAGAGTGAGAGTAGGTGGAGGGATAGGAGAGTTATAATTAAGTTATTTTATTTTAATAAATCCCCTCCAATAATAATTTATGTCTAACCGTTGAACGATTTACATTAATGTATATTGCAGACAGAACATTTTTATCTTACCATAATTATGCAGATATTCAATGTTAATACAAAAATATATCTGTTGTGTTAACTAACACGACTTTTGTACCGATTTTAGACAAATTTAAAAAAAAATATATATATATATATATAAAAAAAAAAAATATATATATATATATATTTAGTAAAAATATGTCGTTAACGTCAAAACCCTACAAAATAAAAAAAGAAGCAACAGAATTGATCGAATCTTTATTCAAATAATTGTTTCACAAACAGTTCAACGGCTGAAAATTTGTTTTTCAGACTGAGGGGTTCTGAAACGTAATGATCCGTTAGAAAACGCACATCGAAAATTTGAACCGATCATAATACTTTCCTTAACTAGTAGTGGTAGGAAAGTGAAAATTCATTCATTTTGATTCTATTGTCCCTATGTAATTTCAGTTTGTCAACATTAAATATTTTTGAAAATGTAGATCAAGAATGGCAGATTATATTATGCTTTTTTGCGTCCAGTAGAAATGAAATTAATTAATTCATAAAAATAAAATTCTAAAAAAAGAAACGGTACCAACCTTCTTACACAGTATTACAGAGGTAAAAGCTTTTAAAAAATGCTGAAAAACATATTATATCGAATATAATAAATAAAAGGAATCTATTTGTTTTTTATGTTACTTTAATAGTGAATTTGCCGAATAAAATAATCATGAAATAGAAAAATTTTGAAATATATCGCTGGTATTTGAAATATAACCTTATTCACCGATAAAACAAACATTAAGAGAGAGAATCAATATAACAAAAACCCTTTCATAAATCCTAAAAATTCATTGACAATCATTTAATTTCTAGTAAAGAAAATTCATAAAAATAATTAACGATATAATTTTATGAAATTTTACCCTTAATGACCTTTCGAAATACTCCGACGGTATATAAAAGAGGAATTTTATAAATTAATTAAAATCATACAGTTATCGTTAGTTTATACTTATTTACCTATTTTTTTAATTTTTAAATTATAATACTAATTTTGTCAGTAAAAATGTACCTCTTATTTATTATGCATAATACAGTTATATTGTATTATAAATGATTTTTTTTTTTCTAAAAATCCTTATACTGAAAATAATAAAGGTAAAACCTCTTACCTTTTTACCGTCCCCACCATGACGATAATAAATCAGTCTTTATAGATGACGAAGAGAAAACCCTAAAACAATAAGACAATTTAATTCTTCTCAGCTTAAAAAAAAATTATATTGAATATGGATACTTAGCTTCAGAGCTCCATTAAGGTAATAATGAAATGCATGCAAATTTGGAAAAGCTACATACATGATAAGAAATTACAAAAGTATAATAATTGATGCAAAGCATAAATGTATGAAATAAGCAATAGATTAACAAGTTATGTAAAGGAAAATTAATGTTTTAATTGTAAAAGAAATTAAATTGTAATAATAATAATAACGAAATTTCCAGATTTGAAAGGTCGTCCAGAATTAGGCCGAATGTCGTCAAGAATGATAATATAAAAGGAATAAAATATTCTTGGAATATGGCCTTAAACTATATAAAATGAACAGAATATAAATATAACAGTAATTTGTGCAAAGGAAAACCAGAAAATGTCAGTGGAATAAAATGCAATTAAGACTCGGTATTCTATTTGTAAATCAAGCCTCGTTGTTTGCTATTTCTGCTCTGAAATATATAGAAGCTCTATATTTAATGAATGAATCTAATCATTGTGGGAGGGTGAGTACTATCATTCCATTAAATGAATCGACTTAATAATTAGGTTTTATTAGCGTCAGTAGTTATTTGAATTGAAGATTAACCATCACTACAGATTCCGCTTCAAAATTAAAACCGATTTTATGAAAATGTATTAATGTAAGGCTAATCAAAAACATGGAACCTCCTAATATTGCGAACTTGATATTGATCATTAGCCACGGTTATGCTAAATTAAATCTAAAACCTGGACTTTACTCAAATATCATTTCATGTTACTTTATTAGACATTGATCAAACTAACATAAAAACATTATCAAATTTCCGTAAAACCCATGGACTATTGAATAAAATAAAATTGTTTTATTATTATTATATGTTTTTCATTATTTACTTTTTACATATAACTTACAGAAAAACTAAGATCACTTATATGATGAAATAAAAAAGAAAAATAAGGAGAAAAAGATTGCTGTAGACATCTCACTAAGCCATCCAAATACTTTCTGAAGCAGAGAAAAGTTTTTATTGACATTGGTAAGGAAGGCCATATTGAATAGCTGATTAGCAAAAATACAGGAAAGAAAAGAAAAAAAAAGTTAGCAGAACTAAAATATAATAATACAAAACGTGTTAAATTAAATAAAATAACAAATTATTCAAAAGAAAAAGCTCTTAGGTATATATAAAATCTATTCTTAACAAAACTCCTTTTCCTTCTCTGTATTTCTGCTAATCAGCTGTTCAATATAATCTTCGTTTGATGTGTTAATAGGACCTTCTCTTTCCTCCAGTATGTATTTGGATGGCTTCGTGAGATGTCTACAGCATTTTTTTTTCTTCTTTGTTTTTTCTTTCTGTTTATATGTGATATTGGTTTTTCTGCATTGATGATGCCTGAATTGAAAAAACATTGGCAAATTAACTGTACACCTGTATGTTGGAGACTCTTATGGCTTTGTAGTTTGAATTTTTCGATTTATAACACAATTACTTTATGTCTCTTTTCTAGCTTTAGGCTTATTTTAGATTTTTTTTTATTTATTTTTTTTTTTTTTTTCCTAAGTCCTTAACTCTAGATAATAACCATAAATGAGACACGGGCATTTATGACTATTGAGTTTTATGCCTTAAATCTTCTCAAAAGAATTATTTAGTTAGTAGGCCATATCTTCCTTAATACTTCATCGAATGCAGCTATAGAGCCATCATTTTGAAAATTATTTTGTCCTTTACTGGTGGAAAACAACCCCCACAAAAGTCAGAAAAAAAAAGTTATAAAGAAAGGAAATTTTTATTAATGCTTGATGGATTTGAGAAATCCTGATGTAGATGATAAAACATCCTTTAAAGTTTGGTAGTATTTATACATCATAATGAGCAATATATGAAGAAAACCCACTATGATTAACGTCAGATAAATTTATTTTGATAAAATTCATTTTCTTTTTACCTAATTACGCCGATCATTGTCAAAAACTATTTTAAATTTTTTGACCACCATACCAGACTGAAACGACAAGAAACCGCCCTACGTTTTCGACTACTGCAGCACTTACTAGAGAAACGCTCTAAACTTCCAACTATTTACAAAAGACTCATATATATTACTATAATAAGGCCTATTTGGACTTACGGGATCGAGCTTTGGGGCTCTACAAAACCAACAAATTCCTCTCGTACCCAATCCCTATAATCCAAAATCCTTCGTAAAATCCTCTGTGCTCCCTAATTTTTCACGAATAAAATCATCCATAACGACCTTAATGTACATTATGTTTCCGATTTAGCTCAATCCAGATACCTATCCTTCCAAAATAAACTTCTGAACCATTCGAACCCTCTTGTTTCCAACCTTGCCTCCTCTTCTATCCCTGATAACCCTCCGAAGCGTCTGAAAAGAAGATGCCCTCGGGACTTTCTAAAATAGAAATATAATTGGAGTGCTACCTATGGGTAGTTTCTCTTCATGTTGTACATGCCATGTTGCTTGTTTCAAATTTACTTGATATATTTATCATTTATACTGTTGTAAATTTCAATAATAAAAAAAAAATGTTTTTTGAGCTCTTCTTTTATAAGTACACTTTATTTATTTATTTATTTATTTATTTACTTATTTACATTCCACCCTACCTTGCCTGATGGGCCATACGGGCGTTTGCAATAGTGGGCTGTTATGCATGACTGCATAACAGCATACTACTGCAAGTGAAACAGTTTAAAATATATCTTCGGTGACGTCTTATCAAGGGTGTCCGTCTTCCGGCGGTCTTCTTGGTGGTGGTCCTCTTCTCCGTGCTCCGATGTTGAAGTGGGCTGGACCCACTGCCTCCTTCCAGTCATAAATAAATTTCTTGAACCGAGGGAAGTTCTCCTTACTTACCAACTGAGGAAGTTCATCCTCTGTTAGGACGTAAATTCCTGCGGTTCTCATCATCGTTGCCCTTATTCCTTCAAATGCAGTGCAGGCCGTGACCACGTGCTCGACAGTCTCCAGAACTCCACAAGTGGGGCACTGGGGATCTATGTCCTGGCCAAAGCCATGTAGCTTAGCTCGAAAACCCCCATGCCCCGTGAGAAACTGTGAAATCCAATAGTCCGGGAGAATCCATTGTGCATCTAACCGCGACTGTACGGTGGGGAAGTATTTTCTGAGAGTACTCCCTTTCGGGGTAGCAACCCACCGACGGCTCCATTCCTTAATCGTATCCTCCCGGATTATCTTCTTCCATTTGTTGGGACTTTCCACAATCCTCACCCGCAGATTTTCTGGAACTCCAGCCAAGCCTTCTTTCTTGTATTTATGCTTGGTCACATCTTCTCGCAGGAGGAGGTCGAGAGGTACCGCCCCCGCTAGGACCTGCACTGCTTCATGTGACGTTGTCCTAAATGCTCTGGTGACACGCAACAGGGCCATCCTCTGGATCGACGCCAACCTTTTTCGCTGTCGCTGTGTGAGGTTCCTATACCAGGAGGGAGATGCATACCTCAAGATACCCAGCACAACACCTTTATAGATCGTCATCGTTGCGGGGTATCTGAGGCCCCAGAATGCACCCCCAACACGACACGAGTCCGTTCAAGGCTTTGGTCACCTTAGTTGCTAGATAATCCAAGTGAGGTGTTATATTTAGGCCTTTTCCTAACCTTACACCAAGATATGTTACCACCTCACTTGGGCGTATTATTTGACCTTCTATATCCATGCTAATGGGGTGTGCTCTATCAGTCGTGCCTTTCAAGAGGATGGCTTGCGTCTTTTCAGCAGCCATACGCATTTTCTTTCCCTCACACCATCTGGCTACAAGGTTGGCACATCGCTCTGCTGCTAGTTTGATCCCCGCCCTGCTGTTGGATGCCACCACAGCAGCTAGATCGTCAACATAGGCAGTGGCAGAGAACCGCTCATTTTCAAGCACTCCCAGCAACTCATCAAAAACCAGCTTCCATAGAGCAGGACCAAGTACTGATCCCTGAGGGCATCCCCTCTCTACGGAAGCTTCTACCTCGTAATAGCTGCCTTTGATCTTCACTCGTCTGTCCTGAAGATAGCTCCTTACGAGGGCATATAGGTTGCTGGGAGCGTCATATTTTTGCAGCTGCTGGAGTACGCAGGGCCACCATAAACTATCAAAGGCGGAGGATATATCAAAAAGGAGCAGCATGACGTATCGCTCCGCCCTTTCTTCAACATCTCTGCGAACTCTCAGCAGAGCATCAGCGGTTCCTCTGCCTCTGGTAGAGCCGTATTGCCGTGGATGGCTTGCTTGATTGAGAACTGGCCGTAACCTGGTCATCATGAGGTTCTCCAGGACCTTACTCATCACAGGGAGGAGACAAATTGGTCTATATGACTTAGGAAGTTGTTTATCCCTGCCTCCTCCCTTGTAGAGGAGTCTCAAATCAGCGATCTTCCATTTCCTTGGGAAGTATCCCCCATCTAAACAATCATTAAAGATTCCTAAAAGTCGCTCTTCAATATAGGAGATACTGTTCTTTAGGATCGCTGCATCTATATCATCAAGTCCTGGAGCGCGGCCATTCTTTTGCCTACCCACGGCAATACGAATTTATAAGTACACTTGTGCATCAACAACATATAAAGGTAAAAAATAGCATATTTCATAAATAACTTATTTTCTTCAAAATTTTTGTCTGCAACTTTCTTGCCCCAAGAATTTAGTTATACTAATTAATAAAAGGATATCTATTTAATGGAGTATATTTAATTTTCTCTTCAGGATAACCAATGCATGAGGATCAAGATACTGGGTGATTGCTATTACTGTGTATCCGGCCTACCTGTTTCCAGGCCGAACCATGCCATCAACTGTGTCAACATGGGCCTCCAGATGATAGACGCTATACAGTGAGCCTTAGTTTTATTTTATTTTTATATTTTGGATGTTGATATATGTTATAACGTCAATCCTTTACACCTTGACACACCCATATATAAACTAAGAAATTTTTGTGATAAACACCTTGGGAATTAGTTTTTAAAAAAACGCAACCGTATCAAACAATTTTTAGAAAGATAGCTTAAATAAGCAGAAGTATATTTCTTGTAAGAGCACTGATAATCAGGAGGGAGTCACCTAACCACACGTTTCTTCGAACCACGGTCTTCAATAAGCCCTTAGCTTATAACCGACACTTTTGAGGCCAATCTAGTAGTGTCGTTCCCACCGAGTAGCTCGGGTTTAAGGACAATGACAAATTGGTCTAGATTTGTAGATTATGGCTTCTCAGAGCAATCAGGCGCACCAGGACCTATTTTCTTTTCCAAAAGCTGATCTTACACAGACTGAACATCGGAGCGGCTACTGATATCCGGGAAAACATCGCGATTAATTATTAAAGTAAACGGTAAAGGGTCATCACTCCTATGAATGATCGGTTTGAGTTGACTCACGTACATTATAAATGAGATTATATAAAATGCACATGTTAGAATCAATTATATAAGTAAATTTTTCAAAGATAATTAAATTTAAAAAAAAAATTGTCAAAGATGTAAAGTTGTGAAAAAATTTCTGTTTATTAATTTCAATAATTAATCTTAGACCAGGAAAATAAAAGGATTACCTCCCCTCAAAATTTGACGTTTCCAAAAAACTTAGAATCCAAAAACGATTTTTTTTTTAATTCGTTCACTTGCTATCCTCTGTTTCTTTATTAATTTTAAAATAACGAGAAGACTCAAAAATAAAGTATATTGTTCTACCTGGAGGAGCTTAAAAAGTAACTCTCTGAAAGAAAAGTAAGCCGATTTTATGATTCCCATTCACTGAAGAAAATATTTCTTTTTTTTTAAAGGAGGCATTATGTTTTTACTACCTTCCGCCTGATGAAGCTCCAGGTCCCTTATTGCCAGTTAGTTTTCACATCTTCAAGGTTCTTGGAATCTTCCTTTCTCCGTTAATACCTTTTTAACAATGGTCAATTTTCTCTTTAGTACTCCTCCGGGATACTTCTGTTACACGAAGTCGCATTCTTCAGAGGTCCACGATGTTCAGTTGTTTCCATTGTAGTTTTTATGAATATTTATGAAATAGAAACCTTGAAACTAAATATAAACCTTATTGAAGTTAATTTGCAGTTGGTTATCGGTTTATTTACCTGTGCACACCTTTCAATGACTTTAAAGACGTGTTGCATGGCCATTAAAATATAATTAGTTAACTGTAAGATATATATATGATGTTTTAGGGGAAATACTTGACATACAAAGGAAAGCTAAAGTCAGTGGGTCACTGATCTGAATCTTTTTTTTTTTTTTCTTTTTTTGGTAATACTACATACAAAAATATTGGACACATATCCCGAAGCTCTTTCCAATGGGTCCTAGGAACCAAAAAAAATAATATTTCATATAATTTCAAACAAAATTTATGTTATTTATTTTTACTTCGTTTTTTCCGGAATTTCAGAGTATTATATATCAATCGATTTCTTTTTTTGTGTAATATAATAATGCAAAATAAAAAAATATTGACTATGTTATTAAAACAGTTATAATGTATCATAAATTAAAAAAAACAAAAGGCGCTTCCAGTAAAGTAGGCCAAATATATATATATATATATATATATATATATATATATATATATATATATATATATATATATATAATATATATATATATATATATATATATATATATATATATACATATATAAATATATACATATATATATATATATATATATATATATATATATATATATATATATATATATATATATATATATATAATATATAATATAATATATAATATATATATATAAGTAGGCCAAATATATATATATATTTGGCCTACTTTACTGGAAGTAGACTGGACTTTAGAACGGCTCCACTTTATCCATACAAAAATTATTTGGTATTTAGAGAGCTCTATATGCTTTACGAAATAATACAAACCCGACTTCCGTAAATGAATTAGAATCAAAGATATAAAATAAAAATAATTCGGAAGGTTTTATTAATATATAATATAAAAAGGAATGAAATCTAAAAGTTATCGATGTGGGTTGAAAGAATAATAACCCAGCTTTCCAAAGGTTTTTCTAATACTTAATTTGAAGAAAATTCTGAGAAGTTGTGGATGCTTTATTTATCGGCCAGAAAAAAAAAATACTCTAAACAAATATTGGAAAAGTATTAAATATTGGAATTTTTGAAATATATAAAAATTCGTATTAAAAAATTTCAAAGAGTGCTGCTATAAACGAATCTAACTTGTTTTTTTAATATATATATATATATATATATATATATATATATATATATATATATATATATATATATATATATATAGATATATATATATGTATATTAAGATGAATTTAAGGTTGGATTTCATCAAAAGATGGGATCACCTATGGGTGACCTCAGCTAAGTCACCAAGCTTACACAGATTTATACCACACATTTCATTTCACAATTACAGACGCATTCACGTCTATGAGCCTTTCAGTGGACAGAATGACTAACTCCAATTTCAACATTTTTGAGTAATGTCATTTCAGTGATATTTCTAGTTGGAAAAGTTGTATCTATACAGACAGTAAGTAAGTTTATTCCAGAATAGGTGATTGCAGTGTTGAAATATTGAATTGTAAATAAAGGTACAAATTTTGCCACTAGAAATATCAATAATTTTTTTTTTTTTTAGCTTATTTGTTGAAAAATATTACAATCTGTCTCAAGGACATTTATAATAGTGTTCACAGATCACATTCACGCTCTATGTACAATAAATAAAATAAATTATACAGAAAAATAATATATATACAATAAATAAGAATAAAATAACCTAAAAAAACACATACATACTTATATACAATATTTACAATCTGGCGAGAGAACTCCAAACCAGACTTGTCCCTCCAACTGTGGAGGGAAAAGCATGACTCCAGGAGATTCCTGCACTTCTCTCTCAACCACGTCACTGGGGCTAAACCCAGTGGTCCTAAAATTAATAATAAAGAATGTTGAACTTGGAGTTTGAAAGATTTGAAAATATATCTGAATATTTAACCTTAAATGATTATATCAGAAGACTTCATAAAAAAATATTTCATGTTGAACGGAATAAAGAGGTAAATGAATGGTATATTATAATTATTTTACAGTTGCCATTAATTATTTGAACGGTTTTAGAAATATTAAAGCAACTATAATATGGTTTCGAAGTAAATAATTCTTATACAAATTAAAAAATTATACATACAATACAAGTTATAAATCAGTCCATGAGTACTGAAAACTAAACAATATAGCTAAAAATATAAAAGATTGCATGGCCTGATCATAAACTGGAGTTGTAAACCTTATTGATAAATGGTTCAGTCTATTAAAGCGAAGGTTATGCATCATAAATACGGCATTATCAGTTATGCTTGAATTGAACCCATATATAGTTTTATGCCTTGATCGTGTACATAACATTTTTTGCATTATTTCATAAAGCAAAAATTTATAAACATATATCTCTAACAGACTTATAAGATGCTTTAATATAATTTGTCTATTAATGATGTTTATGATAAAACATTATATTCATTATATTTATTTATTTGCTCATGTGAAGTATGCCTTCTGTCAACCTTTGAGGACAAAGCGGCAAAATTATTTCATATTTAAAAAATTGTTTGGGGTTCATTTCCATGATGTTATGAATATTAGTAAACGTGAGTAAACAACTTGTTGTTTATTGTTTTTGAATGAAATTGTTTTTTTATTCAAAATAAAAAATATCATACTATTCAAATAAGTACATTTAAATGTACACTAAATCCAAGTATCTTCCAGTAAAATAAAAAATGTTAAATTTTTTTCATGGAAAAGAAATTCAAAATTCTTTCTGGCGTCCTTTAAAACCTTCAATTCTTGTTCGATATTTATAAAATAGGCCTGTTTCACCAAATTGGCTCACTGATATTAGCATATATTGGATTATAATTATTTGTCTGATATGACTTCCTCCATCCTTTATTAGCATGTAATCACAGACATGAAATTACGGAAGTCATAAATTTTTATGTATTCATATACCGAAGACTTTTACAGCTGTTGTTAGAAGAGTTTAAACCCCTAGGAGTATTGTTTTTTAAGTTATGCAAAATCGTAAAACTGAGGAATATAATTGATTTATTATTACAATCATATTTTCTACTTTTTAGGACTATATTTACGTTTTCCTGTTGGATAGACTAATTTCTAGTAATTTTTTATTGTTATTGATTTCAAAATATATATAAACGTCAGAATTGATTCAAAGAAGGCTAGTTTTTAATTTATGTTTTTAAAAATAATGTCCTTCTATCTTTCAACCATACGGGATGGTTATCCTGTTTTATTCTTAAAAATATAACTATAAGATATAAGCTTAAATATAACTTAAACATATAATATAAGATAACTATTAGTGGATTGAATGTAGCACTCGACTTTCTTTATATATTGATCGTGTATATAACATATATCTCTAACAGACTTATATAATGATATTTATTAATAATGTTTATGATAAAACATTATATTATTTTGTTTGCTTATGTGAAGTATACCTTCTGTTAACGTTTGAAGATAAAGCGGCAAATTTATTTTATATTTAAAAATTGTTTGGGGGTTCATAGCCATGATGTTAAGAATATTATTAATTGTGAGTAAACAAATTATACGTAAACGTTATCTATATTGGAAATCCGTAATCCTTTTGATGCTAAAAAGGCAATAGATTTAAAAAACAAAATAAATTCCCTAAATTATATAATGGATGGATATTCGATGTTCAGTTATGATGTAAAATCAGTTCTTACAAACACACCATAAAATGGTCTACAAACTAATATCTGATAAATGGGATAAGATCGAACCACAAACACCAATAAAAAGTAGGACGGTTTAAATTTGTATTGATGGCTACTATATGTGAATAGTGTTGTGGGATGTTATAAGTTTAAATAATGTTTGTCGCAATTTTTATAGGGAATATCATAGATTAATATAATAAAATCATAATAAGAAGACGCTAGATCTTTTAAATGACAAGTACCTGTATCGAACCGTTAGGCAGGACTCCGGAAAAAGATTAAATAAAATGGTCACAGAATATGTTAATAAATTAGAAAAGTTGAAATGTAAAGATAAAAAAACTATACTTAAGCTGATAAACAATTACCACTAAACACCGAAAATTCACGGTCTAATAAAAGCACATAAAAAAGATGAATCTTGACGAACAATAGTAGACGCTACTAACGGCCCAACGTACATGTTGTCGAAATTCCTGAACCCAAGCCTGAACCAGTTTTGTAGCAATAATCCATTTGATGTTAAAAACGCAATCGATTTAAAAAAAAAATAAATTCCCTAAATTATATAATGGATGGATATTCGATGTTCAGTTATGATGTAAAATCACTTTTTACAAACACACCATTAAAAATGGTCTACAAACTAATATCTGATAATTGGGATAAGATCGAACCACAAACCCCAATAAAAAATAGGTCAATGTTTCTGGAAGATATCAGACTTTGCACTGAAAATGGATATTTTTCTTTCCAAAAATAGACCTACCAGAAAATTTTCGGTCTCCCGATGGGCGATTCGTTATCTCTAAATCTGTCAGGTATAGTCCTGAATTATATTATCGAAAAAGCATTAAAAAAAAAACGAATATAAAGCTCTTATTAGTCGCAAGATAAACCGACGATCTATTTGTCATCCTTAAACATGAAGAGCATTCTATAATGGCCGATAACCTTAGTTCAATCCATCCAAAAATAGAACTTACGTACGAAACAGAAAACAACAATAGTATAAATTATCTGGATATGAACATAGTTAAAAGATAAATAAACCATAGATTATTTGTGAACGTATAATTACCTTTTAGAAGAAAAAAAAGAAAAGAAAGAAAGTAAATCATAGATGCGTGCTTTAGACAAAACGATAGAAGTGAAAACATCAAAAAGGCGAGATTATTATTATGAAATATAAATTATAAATAATGTCTCATTATAAAGAGGTTAAAATTCTGAACATTTTTCTCACAGTAGGCAGGTCCGACTTTTTACTTTCTGAGATACTTTAATTCATATCTTCCATAAAACTCGTTATCATTTGGTTTTCGGTACTATTTTTCTTTTCGCCTCGCGTTTGTTGTTTTGCACGACATCCCGTTAAGATACAATTTTGAATAATAACTTATTACAGAGAGGATGAAATACTAAACAATTCCCTATTGTACAGTATGTAGGCCCGATTTTTAGTTTCTGAGATATTTTGATAGATATTTTCAACTAAACTCGTTATCATTCTGTTTTTGACACTATTTTTCCCTTTTCGCCGCCCTATTACAGCGTCGCTTTAAGATAAAATTTTGAATTATAGCCTATTATAGAGAGGATGAAATCTTGAACAGTTTTCGCGCTTACAGCGAGCCCGATTTTTAGTTTGAGATATTTTAACCCATATATAAAAACATTTAAATTAGTCCAATCCATCTACTTTATCCGAGCGTTAACACTTCGGAAATCTGACTGATCAATTTAATTCATTCTTCATAAAAAAAAGTACAAAACGCGCCTAAAAAAGTTGGAAGAGATAGTTTCAGTTTTAAATGTTTTTCCGGAGAATTTCACATAAAACTGATAAATGATATAGCGCAACACAAAGCTCAGACTGAAAGTATTTTCTTTGTTTTCTAAATTTGTCTTTAAACCTTTTATAAGTGCGTTTTCTAAAACTATATATTTATAAAAATAGCAAGGTATATAAGTATTATATCTCAGATATTTCATGGAAAGGGTATTTCTTAAGAAAGATATATTAACTTAGGACTCATCAGTTTCAATAACGGCGTGAATGAGGAACATCTTTCACCTTGTTTTCATTAAAAAAGATAATTTACAAAGAAAATTGACGACGCTATTAGACATAAATCCGTAAATTTATATCGCTATTTCGTGCTTTAGACTTTAATCAAATTTATGCTATCATAGTGTGGGCGGAAAAAGTGAAAGTATATCTTATAAATAGAGAAGTATCTCTAACAAAATTAAATGAGGCACTTCTCCGTATTTCATTATTTATTCATATAAAACGTAATTTTTTAAAAAAATTTGCGTATATGAAATAATAAGAATAAGAATTAGTTACTTTATTCGAATGTTATCAATATTTTGTACTTTACAGCATCTTTTTTATTAAATTTTATTACAGTTGCTATTTCTATATAATTAAAAGCCTTTTTTATTAATGAAAAGAGCGGAATTATGTTCCTCCTGACAAGATATTTAAAATTTTTACGAAAAAATATAGAATTAAATAAATTTTATTAGCTTGAAATGAAGATTAAACGACCTCAACAAGTGTCACTAATTGTTCGAGGTAACTAATGTTTTTCGTAGAGGTAATAGCAGGAGAAGTTTATTTTGGGGTGAAATTAAATATAAATATTAATAAGAAAAATTATTTTAATCTAAGTAAAGAAAATAAAACAATCGTAATACAAAAAGAGCTAGTCGGCCATACCATTTTAGGGTTATGAATAAATATCATTACAACCCTTTAAGGGACTTATAGTAGACGAAGAATCATAATTCCTTCATCGATCATTACACTAACTTAGCAGTGACGAGTTTGCAGATTCATACTTAACCACTAGGTTTTTTTTTTTTTTTGGTTTTTTTTTCATCCTTCCCTTCCTCGCCTTTAAGGCTATACGGGGTTCTCCCGGGCCAGGGAGTTGGGGTGGGGATTTAAAAGACCCTCGGGCACCCGGGATGCGAACTTCGAACTATTTTTCATCGTTGTCTCATATGTCAGGTTGCCTGCTCTGCACACTCGTTTGCCCGTTCGGCCACCCCGCCCACAACGGTTATGCACAAAACTAATTTAAGTGTTTAGAAGTGAAATAAGGACTGATTATTAAATGCCTGGGGGCTAGAAGTCCCTATACCTCCTCCCCTACGTTTACTCTCCTATTCCTAATTAATTATGATTACAATATTTTTGCATCATGTATTAAATGCAAATTATTTAATTAATTATAATAATGCATTTATGATTATTTATTTCAGGTTCGTGAGAGAGGCCACGGGATTGGAAGTGGACATGCGGATTGGGATCCATACTGGTAACGTCCTCTGCGGAGTCATTGGCTTGAGGAAGTGGCAGTTCGATGTCTGGAGCGACGACGTCACACTGGCCAATCACATGGAGTCAGGTGGTCTACCTGGGTATGTTGTCATATCACTTGCAATATCATCAACATATGATGTACTTTACATTATTTATAAAAGTATAATTTATTTCACTCAAAATATTGAATGAATAGTTATAATTTAAACTTTAAAAATGACCGAACGATTTTTTTTTTTTTAATACAAGTCTGATGCTAGGATATGAGAAAAATAAAAGAGAGTAAAAGTCAGGTGCTTAGCTTTTGCGGATAATCTAAGGCTTATGTCGAAGAGTAAACAAAAGAGGATTGATCAGATTAATGAACTAAAAGCCACTACTTCTTTTAGTAATAAGGGAGGAATTCATATAATAAAAATCTTTCCATGGAAGCCAAAATCATGAAATTGCTATTAATAATAAAAATAAATGTACTGAGAATAACAAAAGGGCCGAGAATAGCGGTAAAGGAAAACCTATTTAAAAAAAAATGAGCATTATGAACATATTGAAAACTTAAAAATATCGATAAGGAAAAGTAGACTAAAATTCATAGAGCGTATGAGGAGAATGAATCAAAATAGGTTGAATAAACTAATATTCGATAAACTGATGGGACATTGAGAACATAAAAGGTTGTCCGGAACAAATTAAAAATGTATTAAAAAAATGAGTATCTAAGAAGAAGACTACTAAAATAGGAAAAATAGTGAAAAAAATAAAAGTTCTTTTAGTGGAGAAGAAGAATCAAGAGATAAAAAATGGAAAGAGGAAATAAAGATAAAGATGGGAGAAAAAAATTAGAAAAGCATTTCTGCAAAAAAAGTAAAGAAGTCTAGAAATCGTACACGCATGATCATATGTTGGACTATATCGCGATAAATATACATATAATTAATTAACTGAACTATGACCGTACCAATGAGTACACAGGTTGAAACGTCGATTTTAAATTATTTTATGTATACATAACGTTATTCTTATTAACTACATGCATATAATTAGATGCATAAAGTTTACTGCATTAAGTAAATTATGATTTTTTAAGTTTCTCGTAATTCAAAATAAAAAGTTTTTTTAGAGCTGTGTATTTCAGTAGAATTGTAAACATGTATAACATTGAAAAGGAAACATAACATAGAACAAACTTTTATTACATTTCAAAAGAGCAATACTTTTTTGAGACGCTAGCACAGGTGCAAAAAGTAGAAAACAAGAAATATTTCTTTAATCTTGTAAGGCTCAATGAAAACCTAACCAGCATGGCCTCTCCAATATTCCAATTTAAAAAAAAATGGATTTATAAAAAAATACAAAAGATTTTAATAGTGATTATTTTGTGACGTATTACATAATAAGTGTAACAATTAGAGATGAGTAGTTGGCTTTCAACTTAATTGTGGCCAGTTGAAGCCGTGCGAAGTTAGTTAAATCCCAACATGGAGTCGAGGTCCAGGACACAAATCAACTAATGTGACGGCGTCATTCCATACTAAACCCTCAGAGCCAAGCAGCTGTGCTTTCATAGTCTGGATTCTAGTTTCATCCACCTACATTAATTTTGTAGAAGATGATTATGATAATTGTTGGTTTATTATTTTCAATAATGAACCATTGTAATCGAACAAAAAATTCAAAACCTAATTCCCTCACAAAATTTGAGGTTTTACGTTTCAGGATACGTAGAATTCGAAAAACGAATACATTTTTTTTGTCCGTCCGCAGTACGCACATTTTCTCCGGAACCCTAATGGATCGATTTTTTTTTCAAATTCGGATTTAAAGTCAGAGAATGATCCTCCTTCATCGACATTAATATATGTTAGTTCCTTTTAAAATTGCGGCCGAAAAACCTGCGTTGTTTAAGACTGTAGCGCCTTAACGAATGTACCGATTTCAATGAAATTTAGCTAAAGTTTTCATCTCGATGTCCTTTAAATTTATCTATATAACGTACTTCAATGAAAAGAAGATGGAGAAAAAGTTAGGAGGGGTGGTAAAATTATATTCCAAATAACTCTAAAAGTATACACTTTTTTATTTATATTGTGATAAGATGTTTCAAATTTAAATTTCCTAAAGAACGAAGAAAGTTTCATCGAAATCAGAGCACTATTAGTGAAGATATCGCGATTTTAAAAATTTTTGGTTTATTATTTTCAATAATGAACCATTGCAATCGAACAAAAAATTCAAAAGCTTACTCCCTTTCAATATTTGAGGTTTTACGTTTATTAAAATTGTTTAGGCAAATAATTGGAATCACCTTTTATTTATTTTTCTTTGTCACTAGGAAGGTAATGTTACTTTAGGTTTATAATTGTTTGGAAATAATAAACCATGGTGAAATAATTAGCAGTATTTTTTTATTGCTGCTGGTAGTGCTAAAGTTCGTATGTAATAATTTTACATGTTTATTCTATTTGTGCTAAATTTGGCATACATTAGTCTGCAACTGCGATTAGTAGTCCGCTATTTCGGAAAATATCAGAGAGAAATAACATATGAAATGTGATTAATAAATCATAAAGAAATAATTATTTCTTTATGTTTTATTAGTTTTGAAATTATAATCAGTTTTTATAATCATCTGAAAAATAAATATCAATTTTTACCTTCTTATCAAATTATTAACATCCAGCTGAAACTTCATAAATAGCTTCATCTCATCGTAACCTTCAAATATGCTATTTACGAAAATTCTTTGGATTGGGCCGTTTTCAATCTTGAGGTCGGCAAACTTTGTCTATTTAATTAGGTGTTAAAAACTAGTAAATACCCATTTGTTTTCCCTTTGGATCATAATATAATTTGATCACAAAACCGATAAAAAAGGTGGTCTACAAAAATATTGGGCCGTTTGGTCAATGTAACCTCGTTATTTTGACAATTTGGGGATTAGGTCACGCCAAACGGCTCAATATTTTTAAGGCTTCGTGTTCACGTTCTTTTACGATTCAAGTGGAAAGCAAACGGGTATTTACGGGTTTTTAGTACCTAATTAAATAGACAAAGTTTGCCGACCTCCAGATTGAAAACTCCCCAATTCCGAGAATTTTCGTAAATGAAATATTTGTAGGTCATGATGAGATGAATCTATTTACAAAGTTTCAGCCGAATTTTAATAATTCCATAAAAAAAAAATAATTCCATACTTCCATAACGTCCGTACAGTCCGTAACAAAGCCCGTACCATGGACTATCATATTTTAGCATAAAAAACCCATCACACAAATAATCTATCGAATGAATATTATTTTATCTATCTTTTTATCCATATATGCATTAAAAAATAAATATTGGCATATTATTCAAATTAGTTTTATTCAAACTGAATGTTTACCGTAAAAAAACTTTAAACAAATAGAATAAAAGAGAAACTACATTTACAGAAATGTGAAGAGGAATCAGTACAAACTACTTAAAATCGACATTAATTTTTTTATTTAGACACAAATTAAATTTACACTAATCTTCGGTTCTTATTATACCTGGTGATAGATATATTTCGATCCGCAGTAAATTAGAACACCAACGGACCCACAATACCGTAATGTCAATTATTGTTATAGCCTTTCCCTAAAGATTTGAATTATTTTTAGAAAAAATGGAGTTATGGCCGAATTTAATATTGACAGACGACTACAGGACTAATTTAATTATTTTGGCGGGGCGAGTGAATAATGAATGGTGATTCGTTATTCACTTTTCTGTGACGTAAAAATTGAAAATCATGGACTTTTTAATTTTTTGTCAGTTGTATTTTTTTTTTTATTTTCAATGTATATTGAATACAGTTGAGATAAATTAGTGTATCATAGTTATTTATTTGGTGCAGGTGACAGATAGTAACATTTACAAATTAAACTAAAACTTTACACATACTACATATTTGATATAAAGGTAATTGAAAGTAATAAATACATAGTGTAAAAAAATAAAAATGAAACTTTGTTAGTGGCGATTGGCTAATACATTTTAATATAAAAATATCTTGACACCGAAGTTAGAATATATAACTAAAAAATATTAATAATAATTTATTTTCATACAAAGAAAAGAGAAAAAATTTCCAAGTATTCTTTAGGATCTTCTTATGTTTCATAATTATTGTTCATAAAAGTTAATTCATAGCTAGTAGAAAATTTATTAGATCATTCACTTCATTATTCTTCATGTTCATCTTGCAAAATACCATTTATGAACACTATACTAGGAGTGTGAGTGGTTTTCGGTACGCATTTTAGTTAAGATTTGACATTTGAAGATTTGACATAATTATTCAATAGGGCAAATCCTTGAATTTAAAAGTCTTAATACACTAAAAAAGTTCATTTACTTGACTTTTATCATGCATGTTTCAAGAGAGAGAGAGAAATGCTTTATTTCCACGCGATGCTGTCCAAATACCTTGTTTTGTTATATACAACATGCTTTTCTCTCTGTTTTTCATTCTTTCTCTTTTGATTTCAGTTTGAGGTATAAGATAAATAAATTCTTTCTCTTTTAATTTTAACTATTTATCACCATAATACTGTATTACTATTCATCTAAGTAATGTGTAATATAAATCAGTATTAATAATGTAACGTGGATAAAAATAAATAAACTTCTGTATTATTCTATAAAAATAAAATAATTCAACAATGATGTAATTAGATATATGGATAAATAATAGTAGATAAAGATATAAATAAACGTAAATTTATTTTTTTTAATATATGATAAACTTATCTAATCGCTCTAATCTAAGATCTTAAATGTTCCTTATTATGCTAATTAACTAATCCACGATAACCTGAGTAAAAAATTAGATACCTGTATTTCCATAGCAAACTTCAATCTATAAATCTTTCAATTTGTGACACGTCCTACATTAAAATAATTGATGATTCTCCTAGCTTTCTAAAACAGAATTCGAGCCGTGACCGTATTACATAATAGATCATTAGAGTATCATGAGACTACCAATAAATATGTCAATTCAATGTTTAATTCGTTTGTGTATAAATTATAAACGTCTCCAGTTAGTGTACCGAGTTGAAATGGTTCTATCCAGTTTACCGACGTCAATACCTTTATATGTGAACATACTTATATATATATATATATATAATACACAGGTTAACATGTGTCTTTCTATCATTTCAATTTATTGTTGATCATCTTCTTATGTCAGGCAAATCTCACCAAAGTGTTCATTATAATTTGTCTTAGGTGACTGACTGTCCCAGAATAAAATTTACTTTTCTTTTTCTTGTTGTTCTTCTTCATTTATTTGATATAGCTCATATAATCGTTCCGCTGTTACAATTCAGGCGGGATGGCTTACTTTTTTATTCAGCCTGAATTAAACTGAAAATTATAGTAAATAAAAAAGATATACTCTGTATTAAATATTAATAATTCCTTAATTTTAGAAATGAACATGTAATCCTGTAGATATTGAAAAGCGGACCGTACACGATCAGTCGTGAATGAAAGTCACAAGACTGAGAAGGATTGCTCCAATCACGATGAACCCTTCACTTTAAAAAAATTAGATATTTTAGCTCAGTTGACATTAAGATAGCAAGCAGCATGGATCTGGTGCATTATTCATTAATAATAATGTGTTTAATTAAAAGGCTTATTTGGAAATTATACTATATAGCATTGGACATCAAGAGAAAATTGGAGATATAATAGTTACTTCGCAGGACCTGAAAATCGTTTTGACAGATAGAAAAATATAAGTCTACTTTTCACAAAAATTAAGGAAAGATATTGGGATTAAAATCATTAATAATAAATTTGTTTAGAAAAATAGAAAAAGAACTGACAAATATACACATCAGTTAAAGATTGGTTTTTTTCTTTAGTAAATCGTGAAGTTTTCACCTTTTTTTTAATTTATTGCCCACTTGACTATTTAAAAAAAAAATAGTTGATGATGGTTTATAAAATATAAACATACTGTATGAAAAACTATTTACTTTTAATGAAAATCAGGAATTTACAATGGTACAATGGATTGAACCATTATTTTCCGAAATCCGCCAGCCACGTCTATCAGTACATCAATCAGTACCTTACACGATCAATCGAATCTTCAATAGTACCTCGAAATGCAATTCCGAATGACCGTGTATGGTCCGCTTTATAATTATGAATTCAGCTTTATTTAAAAATAAATTACGAAAATCATAGCCAAAATTTGTCTGGTCATATATTAGTGAACTTATTATTTTTTTTCATAGGCGAGTCCACATCACTGAAGCAACACTGATGCAACTGAACGACAAGTTCGACGTGGAACCAGGGAATGGAGGAGACCGAGACCAGTACCTGGCAGACCACAGGATCAGAACTTTCCTCATAGTGCCCGTGAGTAAACCACAACATTATACGAAAACGTTAACTATCACGATATGTTAACTAATATTATATTATTGAGAATAAAATAGAGACAAAAACTAATCTTAAAGTATGTTTGGAAGTAGAGGGTGAGAGAGAGAACCGGTGTCAAAGCCCCGGGCTCCGAACTGGGTCCGCCGTACCTACCAAGTTTTATGTCTTAACATATAAATTTACATTAAAATAAAATTACATATATCATTTAATAATTATGAAATATCTTAATATAATATCTTTTTTGTACCCTTACAAATTATATTGGCTTATATTGGTTTTCAGTGATAAATTTAATATTTTATGGTGACCTGAGAAAATTATCCCTAGGGCCCTTAGTTTCTCTCTACGGCTTTGATTGGTAGATTCATACAAATATACCAAAGCTTTTAGAAAATCATCGTCAGGACTAAAATATCTTAGAGTAATTGAACTATTCAATAAAAACAGTGAAAAACTTTTATTCTTCCAACTGAAAATATTCTCGAGAACTTCACAAGGTATCAATAAAACGGTTTATCTAGTTTTTGGAGTTATAAATATATATATATATATATATATATATATATATATATATATATATATATATATATATATATATATATATTTAGGTGATGATTTTCTCTTACTCGCCCCACTATGCCACGTGCCAATAGACCACAGCCAGTCAAAGACTTATTAGTAGAGTCCCATCTGTTTGGATAAAATAGATACAAACAAAAATTACCAACGACGTTGAAAAAAGTATTGAGAGATAATGAAGATAGAGTCGCCATCCTGCTGCAATACTTTATGAAAATCAAGTATCATAATAGAAGATAAATTATATCGCCAATGACCCTCGAGGATAGAGGCGATAAAAAATTCAACGAAATAAAAAAAGTCTGCACCTATTTTAAAATGTATTGTATTTTTTGGTTAGCGGTGCGTTTAGACATTTCGCAAACTATGGGAAATACAATTATCTAACATAATTAACAATTACATAATTGCTAAACCAAACTATGTATTTTACTTCTCTTGATGTCGACAGCAGATGGAAAATATCAAAAACAAGAAAAAAATATACTACCATAGTGAAATAACCATTTATATATTTGTTCGTCCCATACATTGTATATCTAAATACCTAAATACTCCAAATTATATGCACTAAAAAAAAAAACTTAATTGTTTGTTTCTGATAATTTTTAGAGTTTATAGCAATCAAACTTGTTCATCCTGGACGGAAATTCGATTAACATGAATTCTTTAAGACGGACTTTAGGATTCAGTTCCCAGCCAAGTTTGGGTTGCTAAGCCAAGTTGCTGTTACATATGGAATACTGTAACAGCATAAGTATCACCAATACTAAATTACTTCTTGGAAAGTCGGTGTTGAATACCTCTCTATCATGACGAATTTTTAGAATGGGCACAAAAAAGCTATACAGAACGGAATAAACCCAGTAATTCCTATTGCCTCGCTGTTTCATTTCCATCCAATACGTTAGTTCCTTCACTTAAGAGGCCGTGATGGACGTGCGCGTTGAAGCATCGCTCGTTCAAACATTCTCGAGTCTAGCGGCACCGGTTCGAATCCTGTCTGGGCGGGAGTAAATTATTTCGGGGTGGGTCCATGTACAGAATCTCGAACTTCCCACTGCGTGTAGAATACGTCTGGTTGTGCATTTAGTGCATTATCTCTCCGTATGTCAGAAATAGAATGGTTAGGAGTAACCGATAAAAAAGAAAAGAAAAGTTCCTTAATTTCGTCTCCTTAATTCAGTATTCAAAGTCACAAACATTTTAATATATCTTTTTTTTAAGATGGTATGTATTTCAACATTGTTATAGGTCATAAGTAGAGAACTGCAGCCTCCAAACGTTTTTCGCGATATTTATTAATCTAGCGCTAGAATTAATTAATATTTAATTATTTATATTAAGAAAATTTTAAAAATTAATAGTGTAAGTTTATTTAGTGACACATAAAAATAGTGATAGTAAAATATAAAGAATCGTTGCGGCCTCTAATGATAAAAATTTTCCCACCTATGTTATTGAAATTTGTTTATCAGTTATCATTTAACTATTTAACTCACTATTTTTTATTAATTTAACATACGATAAATTAATTTTTAAAATAGAAATAGAAAACGATCCCTTTAATATCCTCAGTACCATGGTATAGTTTTGAATCTAATTCTTGGGAGGCATCAAAACTACTTTTGATTTTTTAACTCAAGTACAATCAGAAATGGTTGAATAAACAGTGAATATTGGACCAAGCAGAAAGCTATAAAAACTCTACCCTCTGTATATTAGCATATAGAACTCCGAGAAAAATAGACCCAACTAATAAAAATTCTTGGAAATAAAGATAAGCATTACATTCGTTATTTCACTCTGAAATACTAGCTTATCCTAGAAAACAGAAATACAAGAAAATTATTATGATCGATTACTTTTAAACCTTTTACAATTTTTACTTGAAGAACTAAACAAATGTAAGAAAGAAAAATATTTTCTTGTCATAGTTGGTTGGCCATTCTATACTATTAGTATGTGTTAAGGAAGGTTAGTTTAAAAATAAGTTTAATATGATATGCTTCTCATATTATAAACTCAAATCAAAAACTGATTTATGATAAAAAATTATAATATTAAAAACTGATAAAATATAATATTCAATGTTAAACTTGGCATCTTCAGGCATTACCTGTTTTGTAAGATGACTGAAGCGTCTAAGTTGAGTATTCGCGGTTTGTCCTTGATATGGGTTTTACTGTCGCGGTTAAGCGACATCCTAATTACCTATCTCACAAATCAAATAATTCTCTCCTAAGTATAATATTTGATAATTATAAAGCTTTATAGCTACCATACTTTCATAGAAAACTACAATGCTAAAACTTAAATGAATTGTTCATACAGTTACTATAAATGATTAAATTTATTATATTATAAAATGGATTGATACAAATCCTTATTACTATCAGAATTCATATTGAAGGGCATACCAATTTATTACATAACATTTATACAATACAAAATCATGAATTATCCGTATAGTTAAGTAATAGTAAACGTAAAAGTTGGTACACATCTATTATTGGATTGGCAAGTCCTTTTGGTTTTTCTGTTTATTTTCATGCCACCATGATACACTTCTTATCTCATAAATTAATCCCTAAGGTGGATTGTTTATCCTGTTTGTAATATGTCAACCACTATATCGGTTAACTTTTGTTCAAACTAGCTTAGTATTGTGTTTACTATTGCACTGAGAATATGGAAGAAAATATCATTCATTATCGGCAAATTTTGTGGAATTATTTTTAAGAAGATAAGCCTGCTGCAGAAGCTCATAGAAAAAATTGCAGAGTTTGTGGAGATGATGCCTTAACCGAACGCACCTGTCAAAATTGGTTTGCCAAATTTCATTCAGGAAATTTCGACATTAAAGATGCTCAACGGTCTTGTCGCCCACATGAAATTTAAACGAGCAATGTTGAGGCCATTGTTGATCAATATCCCACCCAATCAGGAAGAGAGATTGCAATGGTCCTAATGTGTCGCACACAAGCGTATAAAACCATTTGCACAAGCCCGGCTATGTTTCCAGGCCTAATGTTTGGGTCCCTCACCTGATTTTTTTTCGAAAATCACAAAAAATGTTATAACTTCAATACGATTTTAGCTATCTACAAGACATTTAGCAGGAATCAAGGCCCATATAAACAACACAAAATGACATTAACAGGACTTTCGTAAACAAACTAAAATGGAGATAAAATATAAAAACCTATAAGGAGTATTTATTTATTTATTCCTTAAGTAGGCACTAAATAAAAATACCACTCATACTGCTTTGAAGAGCAATAATTCAGCTTACCGACGTACATAGTAACATCAAATTTGGAGAATATCCTGAAGAGTTATGAATGATAGGAAAGATGTTGTATTCCACCAAGAAAATGCTAGCCCCACACCTCATTGATCACTCTTAATAAATTATTCAGTCTTGGATGGGACATTTTGCCCCACTCTCTCTATTCACCGGACCTAACTCCAAGGAACTACAACTTATTCCTGTCTCTGCAGAACTCCATGCATGAAAAGAAATTCCAAAAGGAGGAGGGCATCTAAAACCACTAAGATCAGTTTTTTAGCAATAAACTCCAGACATTCTATGAACATGGCATTATGAAGCTAGTGGAAATATAACAAAAAGTCATATTAAATAATGTTCAATATATAATAACAATAATAAAAGGCTTAGCGAACCCGAAGGTTCGTTGCCGACACCACCAATCGCTTATTACACACCTCCCTCCACCGTTCGTCGTCCAAACCCAGTCCCTTCAGATCGGCTTTAATGCAATCTTCCCACCTTCGCTTCGGTCTACCACTCGGACATTACCATTTGGTACAGCAAATATTAACCTTTTAGGAATTCTCTCGTTACTAAGCCCAACAATTTTACAAGTCCATTTGATTCGCCGCGATGAAATCACCTGAATTATATTATCCGGGCAGAGTTCACGCAATTCGGCGTCGCGTAACCGTCTGAACTCTCCGGTTAATTCATCCTTCTTCGGTCCGAATGGTCAATATATTGTAGATTAAAATTAATTTAAAGTCTATAGTAAATTGAGTTTTATTTCACCCTGAAACCCGAAAGGACTTATTTACCAACGCAATACAACGTTTTGCAAATATATTACCATATAACTAACTAAAACTTGTTAATAAATTTCTCTAACATGGTTAGAAAAAAATGTTTCGGCTCAAAAAGCTTTAAAAAAGCATTAACTTTAATCGAACTAGTTAAAGTTTTTAATAGTTCATTTGCCCTGTGTTCTATATAAAAAATACTAAGAAGCGAATAGTAGTCATGGAAATCAGGAAAACATTTTGAATGTATGAATATACCGATATTTGACGATAACCAGTACGAAACCTTTAATCCTATAAAAAGATATGTAATATGAATAGGTTCATAGACAACCTCAGGAGATACCAAACATCCGAGAAAAACAGAGTTCATTTCCAATATCGACTCATAAATAAATCATACGAATCCAAACCGTTTGATCTATGACATTTTATAATGCAGTGTGAAAGCTTCAAAGACCAAATATATTAAATTTTTTTTTCACTGGCTGAACTTATTAAATATATCCTCAATACTAAACTCTTGAGCAATTTTAAGTAGCTAATATTTAGAGCAAAGAATAACATTAGATCTAATATTTAGATATTAATATATATTAATATTTAGATATTTTTGCCTATATTTCGCTACTCACATCTAGCACAGATAAGGTGTGCTTATAAATTATGATTGTGATATTCCGAGTATGGGGTAGGATAATACCCAGCAGCTCCTCTTCTTAGTTTCTTGATTCATGATAGGAGGTATCTCATCCAGCTCCTTTTAATCGTCTTTAATGAGCATGTCATCCGCAGCCGTGTCATTAATCAGTCAATTGTTACGACATTTTAAGACAAATAGCAGACGCTTTTTGGTGCATAAATAACAACACTCTACTTACAGACACGGCAACCAAATATCGAAAGTCACAGACTTATTATTTTCCCTCTTTTACTTAATAAAACTAAATAGTAGAAGTAAATAATTTAATATCAACTAGATCAACATGAGTAGAAGTGAATCTGTTACCACAGTATGGTCGTTAGGGAACGTTGTTCGATGCGTGAACCGCTTTATTTTTTTATTGTGTATCAGGAACGCCTATCTTCCTCAAGGTCAATGGCGCAAGAACCTTCCCAGTCCCCTTTCCAAGATATTTTATTCCTCTATTAATAACAGTGTAAAAGAAAGTAAAATTTTAAAGATCGTAGATCATATATAATTACATTTGTTTACTTTTGTCCTTAGTTTGAAACTTTCCATTCCAAAAATTCATGACCCTGCCGAAATGTGCTCCCCTCAAAAATATAATACCACGACAAAATGTACCTTTCTCAAACATTTTGATGGCGCAACTTGCGCCATCAAACCCCCTTCTAGGCACTCCTGTTGTGTATAGCAAATATTTTTTTTTTTTAATGTGAAATTTGTCCATACATTAATTATTTCCTGTTTATGAAGTTCATATTTTGAATGATTCATAACTCATAAATATCAAGTATATGTCGATATAACGCAGTTTAACGTTTAAACTTGCAACATTAACATGTAATAACTGACCTAGACTGTTCGACATCACAGGCGGGGGCCTTCAAACTCGATCTCAGTCACTCAAACTCGTTTAGGGTTTGGAACCGAGTTAGCGTCTGATAGGAGCGGAGGAAACTTGGTTCCGGAACCTTCACCTAGCGTCTCATGACAAACGCCGTCCCAAGACAATAGTTTTTTGGAACTGATCCAGCATATCTTCCAAGAAGGACTCTCTCCAGTTACTCTTCTATCTTAGCGATCTTTACGTTACGGAATTGCACAAGAACGGTTAGTGAACATCCGCGAATCATCATCGTTAAAAGAAGACTAAATTATTATTAAAGTCCTCTGATTTTTTTTTATATATACTAATCGTTAGCTTCTCAGATGTCATTAGTAACATTTTATAAAAAAGTTTAAACTTGTTGGAAAAGGTTTGATCTAGGTTCGTATAAATGTTTCCAGTGAAAAGGCGTCGACACTGTGTAGGGAGATTCAAGACATTTTCTGCCCTCTCCCTCTAAGCAAGGCAGCATTTCACTGTCATTTAATCAAAATAACCCACAAAAAGTTCAATAGACCGTATAGATAATAGTTATGTTTCTAGTTTGGGCTGTTTGCATAATATTACGGTCAGAGAATTAATGACAGTATAATATATAAATAACTAAATTCAATGCGTTATAAAAAGGAGGAATAATTTTTTTTATCCTTGGTCTTATACAACGATATGACACATGACACAGACCTCTTTTCATCAAATTATTAACATCATCTCATTGTAAGCTTCAACTTACTCAAGTATTAAAAACTAATGAAAATCCATTTTCTTTTCACTTGAATCGTGAGATAGTATTATCACAAATTCGAGAATAAAGATGGCCTAAAAAATATTGGGCCGTTTGGTGTGACCTCTATTATATATGCCAAACGGCTCAATATTTTTGTAGGCCACCTTTTTTTATCGATTTTGTGATCGAATTTTCTCACAACTCAAATGGAAAACAAATGAGTTTTTAGTACCTAATTAAATTAACTAATTTAATGAGAAAATGCTCCATATCTGAGAATTTCGTAGATAAAAAATTTATATGTTACGCTAAGATGAATCCATTCACGAAGTTTTTGGCGGATGTTAATAGTTCGAAAAAAAAAAAAAAGAAAGGAGTCTACTTCGCTCCAAATAATAATCTACAAAATACAATTAGCTGTAGCTATGGTGGAAACGGTCCTATTTCGATGAATTTTTTTTGTATTTTGGTTTGTATTGTAGAGAATTTTCAAAATTTGTATACTATAGCACTATTGACAATATACGTTTTGAGTTATGCGCGAATAAAATTTCCTTTTCTTTATAACTTTTCTTTCTTTATAGATTTGATAAAGAATTAACGAAGGTATGGTGTGCCGAATACTATATTATATTATAATACAGGTAATAACGTGTTTATTGAGCTCTTCTTTCTGTTTCGATTCACTGGTTTTCCTCCCATGAATTAAACATTATTATCATGTTATACGGACCTTCGTCCTCTCTAAATTTCTGAAGAGCTATGTTTAAGTAAATATCTAACAGGGGTGCCCAGAAGGGCGCAAATTGCGCCATCACAATATTTGAGGGGGGCACATTTTGACTGGGTTTCGAATTTTTGAGGGGGCACATTTCGACGGAGCTATAAATTTTCGGAGTGGAAAGTTTCAAAACAGAGAACTGGCAGGAAAACATGCGAAAGACCACAGGAAGTGTAATTGTATATAATCTCCTATTTGTCAAATCCTAATTAAGTTTGAACATTTAAGAAGAGAGAGAAATAAAATTTTTGGAGAGGGGGGATGGTTCATGCACCATAGACCTTGCGGGGAGAGGGAATTGGCACCCCTTAAATCAAATACAAATAAATCTGAAAAGAAAGAACCGAGGAAAATAAATGAAGCATTATTAGTTATCGTAAAATCATAAACATCGATTTATAATAATGTATTAGAACAATGTACATTTCAGTGACAGAATACACATTGAATACAAAATTACACATCGAATATGTAATTTTTAAGATTTTATAAAAAAAAAAATAAATAAATAAAAAAAATAAAAATAAATAAAAAAAAATATAAAAAAAATTCTTTCATGGATTACTGAACTGGATTCGATGTAAATCTAGGGGATAATTAATCGTAAAACTGTAACTTTTTTTTAAATTGAAGTGAAAAAAAAGGTTTGGTATAACATTTAAATTTAAATTAAAACTCAGCATTAGAAAATGAAGACTATTTCACTTATAAGAACTATTTATTTATATTATGAAAACAAAATAGGAAGACTAGGAAAAAAAAAAAAATATTTCTTCTGTTTTCCTTTGTTTAAAAAATAATTATTTCTTTTTTTTTATTACAAAGGTAATTTCCTGATCAGGTCATTTAATTGACAAAAAATACTACCCAAACTTCGTTTTAATATTTTTTTTTTCCTTGATAAATTATATCAGAATCATTAAAATAAGCTTTCATGGGATCTTGTGAACACAATATTCGTAAATAAAATATTCCTTTTTTCTTTCTTTTTTTTTTATATTCACATGTTAGGGTATTATGAGGTACAAAAAATGAGGGGGAGGGCACATATCAAGGCACACGGAGCTTAATACCACCAACTATTGAAAGTTCTCAAAGCTCGTGCTTATTGAATGCCCCCTGAGTCGTATTGTCCTCCCTCCCTCTCCCCTCCCCTCGCCTGTGAAGGATTTAATTAAATGGAGCTTCACAAGAGTTTTTTTATTCTTTGAACGGGAATTTATTTCGTCCTTTTACCATATTTGACCTCAGTACAGGACTTAGGATTCAGTTTCTTTTTTTTACTCATATTTCAAAAACATGAAGTTTGAACAAAGGTTCGTGTTTCAAGTCCTATTCTGTTCAGAAGATGAAATTACACCTTATAAAATTATTATTTCAAAAATAACAAAATACTGTTATAATGATATCAGGGAAAATTATAAACATAGAATATCAGCTAATTGTCATTTCCTGATATCAAAAGTCATTTTCTGATATCAAAAGTAATAAATAAACTTAAATAGTAAATTCAGTATTTTCATTAACTCATATAAAATTGCTCCTTTAAAAATGAAACCTAAAGTAGCTGCGAATATCGTAATAAGCCTGCTCAAAATAAAATCGCCTATAGAGTGTTGGAATTAAAAACAATAAAGAAAATTTAGGAAGGAACCTTATGGTGCTCTTTTATATATAGATTAGATAGAAGAATATCCTGTGTCCAAACGAATTGAAAGGAAACTTTGAAAAATAAAATATTGAATGGGTTGTGTTATTGTCTTAATAAATAAAGAGAAATTACGTTCAGAAGTACAGCTAGGGCATACATATTATGTTCTGATAACACTAATATATAGTCAGTTTTTAGTTGTATTGTAATGTTATTTTCTAACCTTTTTTTAATTACCAATATAAATAAATGGTGAAAAAATAAATGTATTTTAAATATTAATATCTACCATTTTGGTACATATTAATATTTACAAAACACTGTTTATTATAATTATGTTTTCATCAACCACCTTACTGTTAACTATAACTGTTTTAGAAAGGAGAACGAGCTGGAAGGAGGAGGTCGAGCTTGGGTGTAGGTCTTGCTCCGCCTCGCCAGAGGTCACCAACAAAAGTTACCAAGACAATTGAATGCTGGGGAGCAGATAAGCCATTTGCCAATATATCTGAAAACACTTTGGCCAAAAACATTGGATTAACGGTTGGTATTTCAAGGACTTGAACGAACAATGATAAAAGAAGGTTGTCGAAAAATAATGTTCGAGTAGTATTCATATACTTAAAAATCACACAATGCCAACTAACCCATCAGAAACTTGTAAATTTAATAATTTATCACCGCATAACAAGACTATTACAACAACTTGAAAATAATATTTAGTAATTTTGATTAATTTCCCTTATCTGTGGTATCAGTTTTCATTAAGGCAATAGCATCTGTTTTTAAAAAAATATATGAGGCAGTTTTTTGAACCTCTAACCTAGTTAATATGGCGAATCATTCCTTAAGTAGTCTATCCATTCATTACTTCATTACATAATGAAATATATATCTAACTAATCATAGCATATTTTATTTAATGCATAATATGTATAACAAAGGCTTCTGAAACGTGTTATGGGATCGTAGGGTATTAAAACAAAAACAGTGAAGACCTAATGTTACCCTAATGGACACCACAAGAGAACAGCCACAAGCCACAAACATTCCCATTCTGCCATTGGTCTGAACCAGTGTTGCCATCTTTAATGTTACTTTTATTCATAATTTACATGAAAAAAATACATATCTGATTTATACAATTAATAATTAAGAAATAATAAAGTGATTTTCCACAACAATACTGAGCAAACCAAGCTAATATTTTTAATTTAATGTTTCAACAAATTTTATCTAAAGAAAATTTAATGAGTTTTATGGGCATGCAAAATGCATAGTTAATATTAATCAGTTGTTTTGAGTACTATGCTGCCTAAACTGTCACTCAATAATACTATTAATAGAAAAACTCTTTGTGTGTATGTAGCCAGTCGAGAAACACTGATATATAATGTATAACAAACATAATTACATTTCATATTGGTTACTTTAATTTTAATTATTTTTTATTTCATGCAGATTATTATTTATTTCAGAGTATTGCCATGATAGAATCAAATTTATTGCCTAACAAAGGAAACTGTTTTGATTGCAGGTAAGTCACTTATCTTTGAATTGAAACATGTATATTTTTATTCCCAAATATTTAGTATTTTATACATTAGTTAAATATATTTGTTTATTTAACATGCCTAAATACACGGAAACGATAAAAAGAAGCAAAATACACCTTACCATGATTTAATTTTTAGCATTACAAGAATCATTAAGAGGGGAAAAAAGCAAGGATTGAGGAGGAAGATATTTAAAAAGGGGCTATGAAAAAAAACGAAAAACATGCCTACTTTATGATGAGTACATGATCAAGAGCTTTAAGTGATTAACTGAATAACATCTAAAATGCATTTGGAATAACTAAAGTACCAATCACTATTATAAATGAATGACTTTATAAAGCTTTTTTTTAAAAAAAAAACAATATATTTTAAACTATTTAGAGAAAACTTTAGAATAACCATGATTTTTATTTTCCCTGTGATTTATGTATAAACTGGTTTTCTTCTCAACCTGATCTAGATAAGGCTGAAAAAACAGTATTTTTATAACTTATTTCCGATATAACAATTACTTAAAATCTCTACATACTATTTTTGTGACATACATTATAATTGACAAGGTTAAGTTTTAGTGAAAATTATCTCTGTGGTTCTTGGTTTCGCTCCCCCGTCCTGTTCATTCCAGTGCATTTTAAGATGAAGTTATAAAGTCTCAATAAATAGTAGATATAATGAAAAAAAACTTCGAATAAGACTTCAATTTTCATAAATTACAACATTTAAACAAACAAATTCTTCAGCTTCATACATTAATACAATTAAAAAAAAAATCAATTATTTAAATAGCCGAATTATTATTGAAATTGATGTAAAATCTAATGAAAGCTAAAATTGGGCATAGTATCTATTAATACCAATTTTCATAGAAATAACTGCAATTATCACTTTAATTGAATGACCAAAACTGGTATTCGAATTGTACCAGAGACCCAATCCAATTTTAGTCTCCATTTCTCCTAAGCCGATGTAACAATCTCTGAGGGATGCATTCCTCTGGTAACAATTGTTAACGATCATTATTCCTAAGCTGAATATGTTCCATATTAAATTAAAGAGAGTAGTTCTGGAAATAATATTTCTTGGTGTTTAGGAAATACTTCGAAACCGAGTGAAGTGTTGAGAACTTTTTCTTAACATCACAGTCTTTTTGATGATACTTCTTTTTATAGTTAGTATATTTTTTTCAGGACATACTGAGTTGTGTTTTGGAATATGTAATTATGTAAATAACTTTTAAACTTACAACTTATTATTCATTTTTTTTTTTTTTTTAATTTTTATACTTATATTTGTTTTTCTTGAGATTTATTTACAAAACTTTTAAGTAGAAATTATTTCCTATCGCACTGAAATTTAATTTTTTTAAACTTTTTTTCAGTTGGGAAGGTGTTAATCCATGTACACTAAGATTTCCCGATTCTAAGCAAGAATCACAATATCAGTTAAGGCCAGATAATGGTTTCAGGCAGTATATAGTGGCATCATTCATTCTTTTCCTAGCCATTGGAATGATACAACTTCTCTCGTTACCAAAGTAAGTAAATTCATTAAACATTTGTAGATGTTACATACCAAAATGTAATTAATTTACATAGGATATATTCTGAAGAATCTGTTGATTTAAATCAATGTTAAAAATTAATATTTTATAAATTTGATTCATTAAATCTCGACTTTTCTTTATGTTTAAAAACATAATGTTTTTTATAGATTAACTGTACTTGCTATTGGATTTTGTCCTGTCTTAATAAGTCTCGGAGTATTAGTTTGGGCTTCACGACCATCACTGACTTCTCCTCCATCACCTATTGAGACTTCAATATGGCTGAGGATACTTGTTGCACTGTTTGTCATTACACTGATGGCTACAGCTTCTCTCATCACTCTTGTAATTAAAGAAATGTCTATTCAAAATATTTTAAAAAATGTTTACAATAATTGATATATATTATATTTTTATTTGATAATTTTATATGAAAGAATGAGCAATAAGGCATGATTTAAACAAAAAATAAATAAATAACCTCCTATCTTAGCATTTAGTCAAAAATAAGGATTAATAAATTTAAATGTTGAAAACAAAATTTTATTGCTGGTCATCTTTTAAAAATAAAACTTAAATGGCAAGTATTATAAATTATGGTGAAACTTAATTTTCAGCTTGATGTGGAACCTGATGTAGATGATGCTATTCCAACTCCATCATCGATGAACAACAGCATCTATATGTACGATGAAACAACAAAGTTGACAAATGAGCAGCTCCTTCAAATAATTCCGGTAGTATTTTATCAATTAAAATAGTTAATATTTATTTAATATATAAAATTAGCTAAGTGTGTTTTCTTTTTCAATATTTGATTTTCTTTTCCTAAACTCTTCAATGTACAATATAATACCTCTTCATCTTCAAATATCGAAATATTACATGTCCCTACCAATAGTACAAATATCCAAGGGGTAACCTAGGTTGTACACATTGTGAGGATGAGAGATGAAGAGATTCCTGCCAGTGTTTCGAGAGCAAATGTTCAGAGTTTGTCGCAAAGACAAACCAGGACTTCGCTGGAAGGAATGTGTCGCTACTACCAATACTTGATGTCTATAATTGGAAGGCAGTAGCACTCGATAGAGAAAACTGGCAATCAATGTTGAAGCAGACCAAGACTCAACTTTAGTGATTCGTAGAGCTGATGGAAGAAGAATTTTTATGACTACCTCTCATGCTAATATAGATTTATATGAATAATGAAAATTTCTATAGATAAGAACATTACAATGGTCAGCCTCACAGATATCTCAAGTGCAAATTTTATATTTTAAAGTAAAACAATAGGAAAGGTATATAGGTTGTAGTAGACATCCTCCTGTATTTACTCTTTTAGACGACATTGTGCGAGGGAATGAGAAGGAATATATAATATATAGGAATGTGAGGTTGCACTGTGAATTGTACTCAATTGTGCAGTGGACAAATTGCTAATTGGAAAATCTCATATCGATAAACAATCGAAAAGAAGAAAAAAGGTCCGATCAGGTAGCTGGGAACAGATGGTGAAGAGGACGCCAAACACTTGAGGCCTCAACAAGAACAAGAGAAGACGTCATCTGGGAAGAGAGCTTACGACATTGAAGACCAAGAATATCAAGTCGACCATTCACTTATATATATTCATTATCAATTGTTAAAATAAATTTGTTTTGTTAGGTAGGAGTGAATAGTCATTTTATTTAGTTGTCCTATAGGCCTCACAATTGAAGAATAAACCAGGTGAGTCAATTCATTTAAAGTGTATTTACTAAGTCCTACATTTCAAATATATATTCTTATTGTTTCTTCTCACTCAATGTCACAAAAGGTAATAGATCCCCGAATTCCCAATCACAGTTAAACACCCTCAAAAAGTCGATATCCAGTGCCGGGGTTATGTTTTAATATTCAGGAGTGATAATAACCTTAAGCCCCGACATAAAAGCGGAAGGCTATTCGCTATTCCCGCCAAAACATCTTTATTTTACATTTAACTTTCAGTAGGTTATTTACAAGGTAAAACAATATTTTATCACAAACACTTTTCCCTTTATATTGGTTTATTTATATATTTTTACTACCACCAAAAATTAAAGCCGTCCTCACTCCTCCACTTTTTCATTTTATTCTTATTCCTTCAACCTTCCTCAGCTCTGCCACTAATTTAGAGTTACAATTTATTTGGTGCTCATTAAAAACAATTGTATAGCCTGAGATAAACATTTTCCAACCTTTAGTTAAGTTGGCCATAAATTTCTTAGCTAATTTATTTATTTAATTATTTTTCATTTCTGTACAGGCATATCTTTTTAGTAGTGCTCTCTCTTTAGCTGCAGTTTCTGTATTTATGAGATTGAATTTCCTTCTGAAACTGCTTTTAATGGCAGCGATTACAATGTGTCACCTTGCTGTGTTCTTCTCTTTATCTATTGTTCCAGTTTACTTCCAGATAGAACCAGGAAGGTAAAATATCAAATAAATATATTTTTTATATTACATAATGCAAAAGAAAATTCATTTGACTCTTTGATATTTATAGATTGATTGGACTTCATTGGGAAATAAAACTAGGTTTATTCCTCTTTGTGATAGTATGCATTCTTCACAGCCTCGATAGGCAGGTAGACTTTATTGCAAGGAGAGATTTTATGTGGAGGTAATCATCTTTACATTATTTATAGTCTCAACCGTGTACTCTAATGCTTAAAACTTAATTTTTTTTTTCATACACACAGATCAAAACTTCAAGTTGAACAAGAAGATGTTGAAACCATGAGAGGTATCAACAAAATTTTACTTGAGAATATACTTCCAGCTCATGTAGCCCATATCTTCCTTGATAAGAGAAATGCTCATGTAGGTATTCTAATTTAATATATTAGTATAATATCAAATCTTAGGCCTCATTTCAATTTATTAATTTTATAAATAATATTTATCAATAAAATAAAGAATTTTTTTGTGCACTGTCTTTTAATAGAAATTTATTTTAGTAATTTTAATTTACCATCCTTTCACCATGTTGAAGAAGAGCAAGTATATCTTACTTTACCAGTCAGAGATGTCAGCCAGCCTATGTATATTAGATTATAAACATACAGACATGAAACTGCCTAAATTTTATGAACATAAATTTCAGTTTTGATTTTTGCAATCTTGACAGTATTTTCTGTTTTCATGATTGTCTGTTCATAGACAAATTCTAATTAAACAAATTAACACATTTTTAGGGTTTCACTCTAGTGTTAATTATTCAATTCACATTTATATCATGATACATAAATACAAAACTTAAATATCATATTCACATAGTTTTTTTTTTTTGTCATGCCATGAATCCATATTAGTTTCTTAGTAGACTCCATATTTTGGTTGCATAAGTAAGGATTTTTTGTAAATTTCTTTTTTAATGAATTCCTTAAAATCTCTTCTTTAATTATACAATGCTCCAGCTCATATGCTTCAACTAAGTATAATCAACTGTACTTTAATCTAAAAAACTTTTTTTTGTTTATTCTATTCTTAATTTAATCATAAACACATACCAATAGGCTCTTCATTCTACATTAAATGTTTCTACGGAACTAAAAGCCAATCAATTTACTTTGGAACATTAGTAAAGTTCTTTTCTTTTCACCCTAGCATTATTTTATTGGTTGTATCTAATTAGAATTTTTACTTTCACTTACCTATGTATGTAATATATAGTAAGGGAAATTATTGCAATCGTGAAAATTTTTGAATCTGAGTTTTCAACGGAAACACATTATTCGAGTTCCCCTGAGTCCCTTAGGGGGTCCAGGATTTAATTTTGAGAGGCTTCAGCCCAAATTTTTTTTTTTTTTATTTATTCAATGATAATTACTTAGGGATAAAAAAGAAAGATAGTAACTACCTATATTAAATGGTATTTAATTGATTCTTAAAGTTCTATTAAATGTAATTATATAGTAATTTTTGTCATAAACATGGTTACATTTTACCATTTTAGGAAGGCTTCAGCCAGAAAGCCCCTCCCCCGTAAATCCGCCGGGGCCTGAGTCCAAATAACCAAGTCCTGCAAAATATTCTGTGAGTGTGTGTTTGTGTGTGTGAACAGTCTAGCTCAAAAATGAAAAGTTGTAGGAACTGAAATTGCGTATTTTAGGTTTTCAGTTTATATAACCAATTTTAGACATTTTTACTATTTTCTCAAAAACAGTTCTAACAATTTTGATTAAATTTAAATTTAAATTGAACGTTTTTTATTATAATGTAGGTCTTCTTCTCATTGATGTGCTCTATCAGGGCTATAATGCCTACTTTTCAAAATTTCTTCCTCTAAAGTACCTGTAATTATTTTTATTTGAAATAATTAATCATTTCACATTGGAACCTGTGATAAAAAATGTTTAAATGTGAGATGTGAATGAATCGGATAATTATCTAACGGAGAAGCAACCTAATATAATTCGTTATTAATAGGGAACAGAGGAAACCAGAATACAGAGCCGAGCTTGGCTGAAGGTTAAAAAAGACTTTTTTTTTTTTTTTTTTTTATCCTATGGCTTGGTCATCATGAACTTTTTCGGCCATGCGATGTCTAGCAGCCCAGTAAATTTAATCTTCTGTCCTGGCTTTGTTCCTATTGTTTTGCAGTCCAGGACAAGTCAGTTGATGCAGAGCTGTCATGAATCCTTGTCAACACAGTGGACATGTTGCTGATTCGACAACTCAAATACTGTATGGATGGTTTTGGAGATAGTCATGTCCAGTTTTTATCCTATTATCCTAAACTGTGTAACAACCTCACTTCTAGGGAGATCCACTGGCACTCTTCCATTTTCTTCTAGTAATAAAGCCCATTGATTCTCTTTCAACTCTAACTGCCATTTTTGTTCCAATTCTTCAGTTATTACTGTTTTGATTAGCTTTTTTGCCATCAAGAAAGGGATTGGCATATCTGGCTGATCTTTTCTGCCATCTTATTTTGCTAATTTACAGCATTTTTATTACCTATCAACCCACAGTGTCCTGGTATCCACTGTAGAACGACATCTGTGCCTTCTAAAATCAGCTCCTCAATCAATTCCTGGCACATACTAATTTTATTTGAAGTTTGAAAATGCTTCTATACATAAGCATGTGTGGTTTTCATAAATACTCTAGTATTGATATTATTTAATATTTAATTATATAGATTACAGCAATACAAAAATTAAAATTTACATATATTTTCTGGTGCTCAAACAAATAAAAATTCCAACAATGAAAGATATATAAGTTTGCAGTCTTCGTTATCAGTGGCACTAATGTCGGACTAAAATTGTTTCGTGACACTTGATTGCTTATTATAATCAAATAAATAATTAAAATATATAATGGTTAAATGCAATGAGCAGCAAAAAAAAAAGCATTAGTATAATACATTAGACAGCTGTGAAAAACATATGGTAATTGATTGTTTCAAAAAATATTTTGTACCATCTGTGATTCTTACTTTTTTCCCCTTTGTCTGAAAATACCTATTTTTCCTAGAAGAAGGGTTGTAAATGAAAGTTGTGTGACACGTGCGCGCACTGCACCAGATTTATTTTTAGGCTTTATTTTATTTTACTTTTTTCAAACTTAAAGTTTGATTCATTGCTAAATTATTAAAAAGTATTGTTTCTTTGAATAATTTTATAATTATTTTTTGTTATTTCATTATAAAACTATTAATTATTAACAAGAATGATTTATTAATTTTACTGTTCTTTACAGGAACTTTACCATGAAAGGTATAATTCTATTGCTGTTATGTTTGCTTCAATTCCAAACTATAAAGAGTTTTACGATGAAAATGATGTCAACAAACAAGGACTGGAATGCTTAAGGCTATTGAATGAAATAATTTGTGATTTTGACAAGGTAATTAACTACAGCTAAATGAGTATTTTTTGATAATTTTTTAACATTAGGAGTTATTCAACTTTGTAAGTCACAAAGTTAAAAATAATTATATTTATGTAATGTATTGACTTTACTTTGCTCTGTTTTTAACACTACATTTAAGGAACTTGTTAAATAAATAAATTTCAAATTCTTATGCTTATGTACTTAGTCTTTTATTTGTTATTTTTAATAATAAATTATCCATCAATATATATATTAACCTCAGTGAATATGAATAGATTAAATTCACCAAACAATAAATTAAAGCTCCTGTATATCATTAGTGACAAATAAATCGGTTGGACTATTGATCTAATCCATGTAAAATATAAAATGTATTATTCCCCAATATGGAGTTGGAAAATAATTATTCTTTAAAAGGAATTTTAATTTCATATTATAAAATAAACTAAAAGAAGATTTAATGCTAGCTGTTTAATAGATGATCTATTAAAGGCCAGTGTGTGGCATTATTCTTGTGTGTGTGAAAAATATATGATGCATTTCAGAAAAAAAAATTCATGATTCTTAAAAAAATAATTTTTAACAGCAGGAAATGAGATGGGCATGAAAATTACTTTTTGAACATTGCAGTTAATCATTTTAAAATTTCTTAAGAAAAAGAAATGTATCAGGCTTTCATTTTTGCAAATTTCACCAGTGTAAATTTAAATTTAGGATTCCTATATTTTCGGAACATGTAAAAGTGATATCGTCAGCACCATATTATAGTAACGAATGTGCATCGTTAAACAGGCTCACATTCTCCAGACCCCAACGAGATCCAAACTCATATCATATTGCTGGACAATGCGTGTTGTGCATACGTGTTAGTCCAGCCACCTCGCCCCATTAGATTATGAACTTGAAAATTCACCAGATCAGATTTAAAATCTTATTCATTTAAATAAATAAATTAAAGGTATGAAGTCTGAAAGTTTTATTATTTTATCTGAGGTTTCAAAATTCAATACTTCATCTGTTTATAACAGTGCCAAATGAACTTTATATATCTTAATTGATATATCTATACAATGTCTGCTTATACTTATATTGATTTCAGCTCTTGATGAAGCCTAAATTTAGCTGTATAGAAAAAATAAAAACCATTGGAAGCACTTACATGCTTGCCTCTGGCCTAGAACCAGGAATTGAAGATGCAGGAGGGGTTAGTAAAAATATTGTAAGGCACCACTCTTTTCCCTTTTTTATTTAATTACTTATTTTATTTATTTTTTCCACAATATAATATCCTAATTCCCATTTTTTAATTTATTTGTATGGATTTTAAATGAAGCATCTAATTTTCCCTTTTGATCCAATGGCCATGGGTGATTTTTAAAAATTTGTTTGAACTTTTTAGGAGCCATATGGCTAATTGTAAAAGCTCCAGAATGACAATGCATTTCTAACACAAAATCATAATTCTGATTACTAGATTATATTATTTAGTTATGTGATACTTCCTCTTCCACCAGTAGGAGATTCAGGATTTAACTTTGGGAGAGGGGGTAATTTGTTTTTAATTTTAAGTAATGGTAATTATAGGAATGATAATGCTTTTAGTGATAAAATTTTCATATATTTCCTTGTCATATGATTACTTTAAGTAGCTAAAGGCAGGAGTGTCCAGAAGGGGATTTCATGGCACAAGTTGCTCCATCAAAATTTTTGATGGGGACATATTTTAACGGGGTTTTGAAATTTTGAGGTAGGGCAAATTTTTATGGGATTTTGAATTTTCTATAATGAAGAGTTTCAAGCTATGGGACATGGCTTAGTATGCTTAATTGTATATGATCCACGATTTTTCTAATTCTACTTTTGCTTGCACTGTTTTTATGAAGAGGTGAGCAATAAAATATCTTGGTAGGGGGAAGTGGAGATTCTTATGCCATCAACCTCGCAATGGATGGACACCCCTGGCCGAAGCACAGAATTATAATTTACAAAGAGAAAATAGCTTAATTGTTTAAGTATGGGGCAGACTGGCCGAATGGGCTAATGAGTGCGCACAGCACCGCGATTTGCCAGGCAACCAGATAACCCAAGTTATGAGATTTAAAAAAGTACGAGTTCGCGTCCTGGTACTGGACAGGATTTTAAATTACCCGCTCTCACCCCTATGGCCTGGGAAAATCCCGTATAGCCTAAAAGGCAAGAAGAAAAAAAAATTGTTTAAGTATTTGATGTAGATCACTCACAAAAACAAATAGAAACCAATGAAAAAATTAATTAATTTAATATTTTGGAAGGCTTTAGTCCAAAATATCCCCCTTTAAGCCGTTAGAACCTCGCACAGTATGCCCTGATAATAGACACATAGGGGAAAAAAAAGAAAGGTTAATTATGCTATAATTTCAAAATACTCTACATATAAGAAGTTTATTACACTATTATCTCAAATTTATTAGTATCTTCTGAAAAATAATTTTTCAAAATATATAATTCTGATAATTTAATAAAATCTATAATTTAAAGATTTTTTTTCATTTATTTATTTTTATTTTTACCAAATAGTCTTGTTACAATAGTTCCCAAGATCATAGCATTTGCATGGTAGCACTATTACATTTAAAATATCTACAATATTAGATACATATTATTTACTACATTTTAATTAAACATTAGTTACTTTGACGTTATGATAATTAATTTTTTTATTAATTCTTCATTTCCAGAAAATATCAAAACATCAAGAGCACAGTATTATCGCCCTAGTGGAATTCGCAATAGCTCTCATGACAATTATAGAGCAAATTAATAAAGAGTCTTTCCAGAGGTTTAAGTTAAGAATAGGTTTGTATTTTTTTTTATCAGAAATGTTTAGAATTATAAAAACTAAGACAATCTTACTCTTTAATAAGATGAAAATACATATCCCACACCAAAAGAAACAATACTCAATTATTTCAGAGATAGATATATTGTTGACAGTTATTTTAAAATTATGAGTATGAAAAATAGGGAGAGTTTGCATTCCTCTCATTATAAATAAATGAGAACAGCAATACACAACTCATGATATGTATTCTACAAATTATGCCTTCACATTGGATAATAATACATGCTACACACATAACAAAAACAACTGTGGCTGGTAAACAAGCACACTAGAACCTCACCCCACATAGTGTAATCAAATATTCCAAAAACCTCCCAATTTGATGAGTCCTTGCATTCACCAAATGCACTTCATTAATTTCTCTCGATCCAAGCATTTAGTAAGAAAGTCGGCTACCATGAAAATTTTGGAACATATCTGAAGTTAATCTGATGGGAATGGATCTTCTCTCAAAGAAAGTCATGTCAATGTGTTTGGTTTTGGCTCCATAGACACCATTGATAACAAGATTTGTGGCCCTCAGGTTATCAAAGTGGATTATTGTTCTGGGCCAGATCCCTCAACCATAAAGTTTCTTGTGTGGCAGCAGACATGGATACATGCCGAGTATATACTCAGCTTATGTTTTTACAGAGCTACAGAGGGTTGCTCTCTTAGTCCGCCAAGAAATAGCTCCTTGGCATTTGATGATAATGTACCCTGAAACGAAACATCTTTCATCACAATCGCTAACCCAATCAGCATCACAGAAATCAATAGCTGAAGAGGGTATTGGATGTGTGGGTATAAAAGTATTAAAATATTTTGAGGTTTTAATCAAGATTGCGAACATAAACATTTTCCCATTTCGTCCATCAATCATTCTAAAAACTACTTAGCCCTTTAAATGTCTTTCCATAATAAATTACAGAAATCATAAAGTGGTCCCGAAAGAATAAACAGATCTTACCTCTCCTTCTAGTATGTAATATGTAACTAGTGATGCGCCAAGACGATTTTGTTATCTATACTTAATAGTCTCAATTTTTAATGGCCGACATCTGGGGGGTGATTCTAGACAAAATTTCCAAAAAAAAGCTCATTCGAAGCATGGGTCGATTCCGAACAGAGAAGCAATTAAGACCTTAAGAATAAACCTTAAGAATACACAAAACTTCAATTTTCAATGAGCAATACTCTTCATATGTTGCATGATACGTTTAACAACATGTGAGAAGGTTTCTTTAATATCCATTCCTCTTCTTTGACCATACTCTTTCACTACCAGTTGAGCCTTACATTGAACTACTTTTCCATTTTCATCTCTTTTTTCCCTGAAAACTCATTTGTTGCTCAAAGGTTTGTTTTTTTTCTGATCAAAGATCAACAAGTTCTCATGTATTGTTATCCAAAAATCCATTGCTTCAATCAAATATTGTTGCCTGATCAGTCCAGTGCTTTCTCAATGGTCAAAGGATCTGACAGTTCATCATTGAAACTGCTGTATACAATATCATGGTATTTATGAGGTAATTTCCTGACTCTGTGCTGTCTTTGTAGATTAAATAGTGGTTCTACAATTGGTTGATCTGTGAAATCTGCATCTTGCAGACATAGTCATCTGAAAAAACAGAAAATTCTTCATCATAAAATTCATTCGTTCATTGATAAGCGGCCAACTTCAGCTGTAGGAAAGAATAATCCACTTACATTATCCTGCTTTTTAGTAAGAAGTGATACTAGGGGTCATGCAGATGATAAGCCTTGGATAGAACATTTTAATCTACCAAAATGTTCAATTTCTTTCTCTATTGTTTAGGAATGTGTGCATAGGCTTTATAACCAAACATCTATATATATATATATCTTACAGTAGATTTTCAGCCTGGCCACATTTGTCCAGGAGTTTTATCAACATCTTTGCAGGAGAAATGGCTTATTAAATAATGGCAGTTAAGACTGCTTCAACTCATAAGTTGTTTGGGAGATTATATTGAATCAAAAGACACCTGACCCACTCCAGAATTGTTCTATCTTTACAATTGTTGTATCTTTCTGTCCGATCATTTTGTTCTGGAGTAAATCAAATAGTTGTCTGATGTTTATTACCTGAATCATGCCAAATTTTTGTCCATCTCTTATTAGTAAATTCACCTCCATTATCTCTATGAAGGTATTTGTTTATAACATGGTTTTAAAGTTTATTTTCTGTTAATAAGTCTTTCTTAACATATCACTATTTGGGGGGCAGGGTGGCCGAATGGGCTAAAGCGTGTGCACAGCACCGCGAGTTGCCTGGCAACCGGATTACAGATTTGAGAAGATTTAAAAAGTACGAGTTTGCGTCCCGGTGCCGGAGGGAATTTTAAATTCCCTGCCCTCACCCCCCGGCCCTGGGAAAATCCTGTATAGCCTAAAAGGCGAGGTAGGGAAGAACAAGAAAAAAAAAAAAAAAATATCACTATTGGAATTAATGGAAACTTGTTATTAACATAAATAAGATATAAAATATTACATAGATATTATGTCTTACAAAGCATAGACAATGTCTTACAAATTATTTCTGTGGAGGTCTGAGTGTTATTCCCGCAAAATATATTTAATTTTATTACCTAACAATAACTTATCATTATTTAATCTCAAACATTTTTCAAAATTATTTATTCTGTCCAAAATATATTCTAAAATACTTTTTTTTATTTTGATACAAATGATAATAAAATTAATTTTTAAGGTTTAAATCATGGACCTGTGATAGCTGGTGTTGTAGGAGCACAGAAACCCCAATATGACATCTGGGGTAATACAGTAAACGTGGCATCTCGAATGGATTCATGCGGTGTAATTGGAAGGATACAGGTAATTAAAAATTTAAGTAATTGTAAATCTTCAGTATATTATAAATTTTATTATAACCCAAAAATGATTTATTAAAATTAAGATTTCATTTTCATTCATTAAATTGCTGCTACAAATTTGCAAAATGAAGTCTTATTAATTCAAATGTAAGGTTTAAATAAGTTGAAAGATCTAGAGATAAACAAAACCACTACCAAAAAAATAAAAAAGTAGCCTTCATTTATTTTTTATTCTTGTGACATTTTAGAACAACTTTCTCATTTTTATACTGATATCACTTTGTTTAAAGCTATACACTTATTATCCGTTTTAGCTACAAATCTAGGTATTTACATTTTTTTATTTACGCTCTCATTCGAAATTGTATCAGCTCAAAAAAATGCAATATAATTGCCATTTTAAGATATTTCCATCTTTTAAAAAACATTTTAAAAAGTGCCTTAACAAAGCATGGTAGTTGAATCAAGATTAAGGGAAGAAGTATTGCTTGATGCTATCCTTCCCCATGTCAGTTTCATTATTTTTATCAGACCATCTGTTGATTGTCAAGTAGGTTGACAGATGCAGATGAATATTTGAAGATAAAAAAAAATTGAAAGGTTGACAGACGGGTAACCTTTCGAAATGATTTTTAATGGTTGAAAAATTAATAAATATTTTCTCACATAAAAAGAATGTTTCAAATTTCAAACAGAAAATTTATTCTTAAACAAGTATTAGTAATTATCTGAAATATTTCAGGTAACTGAAGATACAGCTAAGATTTTAATGAATGCAGGATATGACTGTGAATGTAGAGGACTAACTTTTGTCAAAGGAAAAGGAACATTAATGACCTATTTTGTCAAGACTATATTTGATGAAAAATAAATAATGTATTTAACACACTGTTTTGAAAATTCAAAGTGTCTTACAACACTAAATGTTATTATTACCAAAGGCTTTAGTATATTTAAAATTTGATCTGGATAGGCATTTTTGTGAATTAACCCTTTAATGCTGTAAATTCAACTACAAAAACATTCCCAAATACTAATTGTAAAAGACATTACAAGTAAAAACATGGAGGTAATTTCAAATAATAGGAAAATTTAATTTATTTTTCGACAAATTACTATTTGTTTTGATCAGTTATCATAGAAAAATGTTCAGCAAAGTTAAATAAAGCTCTGGAACCTTCTGAACCTCAACTAGGTGCTCTAGATATTAGAGAGTCTAAGGATGTAAAAATCTGAAAATTATTTTTTGTAAATATGTCCTTCAAGGCGTTCTTTTTAGCATTTCAATGTCTACCTGCTCGTAGAAGAAAATACTGTTTACATAAATGCATTAGTTCCAGGTAAGGCTAAACATATGTCATTTAAGAAAAAAATATGAATAGAATAACAGATTGTTTGTTTTTTTTTTTTTGTTTTTTTACAAAGTATAGAACTATTGTGTTAATTAACTAAGAACATTTTTAGTGGTCCATTCAGAAAGTAAATGAAAACTATTTTAAATTGGTTTTATCCTGCCTTTACTTCCCAGTCGGTAGTTTTGGATGAAGTTGATTTAATCTCTGAGTGGATTGACTTAGTGAGGTATGATTATAATACCATTTCCTGGGCCTGTGTTTGAGGCCGGCTGTGGTGGGTATTTATTTATTCAGTTACATCAACCATAGAACATCCCTGGGATCGAAAGGACCTCCTGGGGTATACTAAGCTTCTATAAAGTGGCACCCCTAATTGGGAGGAAACCTGAATGTGGAACATGATCATAACCAAATCATCTCATAACAAAACAAAGGGCCTGTAAGCAGTATTTTGTTACAAAGTATTAAACCCAATATCATTCCTGGGATATAGTGGTACAGATTAGATGTCCATCCTTGAGGGGATATGGTACGCAATAGTGCGTATTTGCATTATTAAGGCTTGCTACTGGCCATATTACATTGATATATTCTTGTTGAATAAAAAAAAAAAATTCTCGGGTAAATTTACCATTGGTATTTTCTTCTAGTCTTAATTACCTGAGATGTTTATCATTGCTGGTCAATCTATTAGTAGTCTATGATTTCTTGATAACATTTTCCCGCATGAAGGTAAGAGAAATACTTTCAAAAATACTATTTTGATATATTTGTATGTATATATATATATATATATATATATATATATATATATATATATATATATATATATATATATATATATACATATATCATATGAAAAATGAGTAATATAATATAAATAGCTCATACATAATATGAGCAACAATATGAAAGCCATCTACAAATTTCTCAAGCTGTTAAATATAATAATTTTATTTCATCTGCTACCTTCACCATTCTCTTTCATTGAATGGTAGAATATGATTAATTTAGGCTCTACAAAATCTCTGATGTAATCAATTTTGTCATTCATATGCAACATCATCAGAAACCATGTTTTTTTAGTTTTAATTTGAAAGATATCAGTATATTGTAACATTTTCTTAAATGATAAAGTAAACTGAATCAGGGAGAACTCAAGTTTAAAGAAAAACTTTCACATTTGTTAACAATTTGATAAGTACTTTGATCTCTATGGTACCTTAATATCTTAAAGAAGTGAGTAGACTTCTTCTCAAATATACCATCTCTAAGTATAAAAATATTTTATTTTGCTTGGAACCAAATATTTCATGGTATAAGTAAAAATGTTTTTTGCAAGACCTCTCAGATTAAAAATTGCCACCCATCACAAAGGAAATAAAACTTTTAAATTAAATACATATACTCAGGTTATGTTTTGTGTGAAAAATTGGATCGTCCAAGATATTTGTAAGCAATTGATGTTACAACTCCATTATTAACAAAATGATAATCATTAATGCAACCTAACAGAATTAATAAAAAAAAAAAAAGTAGTTATGACGCTCTTATTTATGTAAACATTTTTGTTTTCACTTTATTACATTAGCCTCAAAATAAATAGTTTTCATAATAGTAGTAATGGGGTCCATTAACATAAAAATGTTTCTTCAGAAATTATTTACTGAGAGTATTCCTGTGGCTGCATAGTTGGAAGCTTTGAAGGGTTAAAATGCCTTTATATAGATGTATTTATATTTTTCTTATAGTGATTTTTTAATTGTAAATATACTGGAAATGGTATGTTATTAAAACAAATAGTTTCCAAAATTGTACATTTTAAGATATTTATAATTGAATTTAAGAAATAAATATAACAAATTATTTCTATATGTTTTTATTTTCCCAACTTCCACTGTCTACTAGTATAATACAATGTCAAACTATATATATATATATATATATATATATATATATATATATATATAACTGGAAAAACTAAGATGACAAAGAAGGAAGTCTTAACCAGCTATGAAAAATTACTCCAGACAGAAATGAATCATACAGATTGACTGAGATTCAAGCAGTGCCGGCTTTAGGGTGGGACATTTAAGGCAATTGCCCAAGGGACGACCTAGAGAGGTGCCTGTTGAGGGCGCCAGCCAATCTTCATGGGCACTCGCGTTAAAAATTAAAAAGAAACACAAAACGTATTAAAATAATTAATGTTAGCCTATCAATAAAGCAACTGTATTACAGAAATATTGAATGAAATAAAATTCACAAATTACATGATATAAAATAGCTTAAGAAATAAAATAAATTTTTTTAGGGAGGGTGAGAGATTACTTCATTGCCCGGGGACGCCAAATGTCTAAGGCCGACACTGGATTCAAGTTCTCCAGAAATATACTCCACAACACACTATCAAAGGAACAAATAGCCAACTATTTATAAGTGGAGAGTTGGCTATTTGTTCCTTATAATAATTATATTTCTTAATAACAGAACAAATGTAGATCACCCAATGAATGAATTTACACCTTCTAGTTTTGTTCAGAATAGGTTGGTTCCTGTAGGATGACCTACACTTTGTATCCTAGTTAGACTACATAAGTAAGGTAAGCCCAAATAAACAAATAAAAATTAAATAGAACTATCTAAATAATTTAATTTAGAAATAGTTGAGATATTGTACAACTTATTTCATTGAGCAGTGGGAGCAAACAAAAATGAGAAAAGATACAACTTCAAGCCTAAAGATGGCCCATATACAAGTTGGGGCTCGTATTATCAAAAAATAAAGAAAGGAAAATTCACTATAGAAATTTTTCTTCTTTAAATTTTGTGTACTCCTCACATTTAATAAATTTTATATCATACATTTTAACATCAATTATAGGAAATAATGTTAAATTATTTTAATACATATTCTTCTTCCATAATTTATACTTTAATTTTTATTTTGCAAAACATTAATATTTTTTAGATCTATTTCATTTTAAAAAGGTACTGAACCTTTTCCCCTCTAAAACACTATATTTTAAATCTAAAAATAGAAAATTAAATTGATAGTACGATTATAAGGTTCAAGAAGCAGGAAAGTTTCTTTTGGAGCTTTCTTTAGAATCAATATAAATTTGAGATATAATGGTGATATTTTATTTAAATAAAGCATTTTTTATTTAACGTTTCACTCAGAAAATTCATGACCCCATCAAAATGAGCCCCCTTAAATAATTGAAAAACTCATCGAAATGTGCCTCCCTTAACAATTTTGACGGTGAAATTGTACCATGAATGGCCTTTCTGGGCACCCATGCAATAATGTTTATTACAATAATAATAGTTACAATAGAAAACATATATATAGCATATATATTAAATGTAATTTAAAAAATGTAACAGCTTCCTAAAAAACCACAAGCGGGGCTTTGAAATCAGCATCCTAGTCAAGAGTAATAGGGTGTGACAGATCTATGGATCAGTTAAATTTCATTATTTCCTCCAAAAATATATTCCAAGCAATTTGAATTTATCTACTGCAGACAATTCGTACTCTCACAACCAATAAATATCTGAAAGAAATCTATGTCATACATCATAAAAATCTTTATGGTCTATAAAGCTAAAAAATAAAATAACAATTTATAACTTAACCATATCTCTGAGTAATGTGGAATTAGTCATTTTCTTAATAGATATAAATTAAAAAGTTGTTGACAATACTTCATCTATTGACAAATTTTTTAAATCTTTTAAGAAAACGGAGTAAGAAATATATAATCAGAAGTTTATAGAAGTCAAGAATATTTTGATTAATTAGTAAATTACCATAATTTAAATCTCAGAACTGGCAGTCATATGAGAAAGAACTTGATAATTATTTATTAAAAAGATTTTTAAGAATGTATTAGCACCTAAACTACATATTTTTTTTTTTGTTCTTCCCTACCTCGCCTTTTAGGCTATACGGGATTTTCCCGGGCCAGAGGGTGAGGGCGGGGAATTTAAAATCCCCTCCGGCACCGGGACGCGAACTCATACTTTTTAAATCTTCTGAAATTTGTAATCCGGTTGCCAGGCAACTCGTGGTGCTGTGCACACGCTTTAGCCCATTCGGCCACCCCGCCCCCCCCACCTAAACTACATATGTTGGAACAACATTCAATAATTCGGTTCAGCAATTGCTGAAGGTGTCTTTCGGTTTTCTAAAGAAGTATCTTCATAAAAAGGCTCCCAAAGCTACATCTGTAGAACGAACCCCTTGAGAATATATGTTATTGCAAAGTAAAACGGATTCAAGACCAGTATCTTCCAAAGATTTTAATAATGATAAACACCACACCACAGAATGTCCTTAAAATCATCCATCTGTATTTTACACCTTAACAGTTACAAAATTTTTGAAGTTTAACAGAAGAGCAAAATGAATTTCTGAACAAATTGATTATTGAGCATAGTGGTCAATATTAATATTTGAAGAGTAGGATATTTTGTTGACACTTTAAGCACTTTTTACTCAAAAAAATCTGCCCAAAATAAGCAAATATGACAGTAAAACCAAAATAAGCTAAATTGGGCTAATGATAGTATAAGTCTAGCCTAATTAATTTTAGCTATAATTTGAGCCTTTCAGTTGACAGAATGACTACTGAAATTTCAACATTTTTGAGTAATAATTTTAGTATTTTTTCTTGTTGGAAAATTATATCTGTAGACAGTAAGTTGATTCAAGAGTAGGTGATTTGTTGAAATACAGAACTGTGAATAAAGATATACATTTTCAAACTAGAAATATCACTCAAATTAATAACAAAACATGTTGAAATTAAAGTTGTCATTCTGTCAACTGAAAGGCTCATTTATTAATAGAGTGATAAGACTAATACTAGTGGGGAATATATCCTTTATTGCCATGGTCCAATCACTTGGCTTATTAGACACAAGGAAAGAAAAAGATACAGGATTAACAACACAGGTAGAAATCCACTAAGTAGTGTATACACATATTTCCTTAGCTTTGTCATGTCCAATTGAATTATTTTTGATATGGGCAAGTGAAAATACAAGATAAAATAAATCTTTTTATTTATTACGTCAAAATCAACATTATATTATAAAATAAAAATATGGTATCTTTGTGATATATATTTGTATATAACTTCATTTAAAAAAAAAAAAAAATAGTATTACCTGTGAAGTACAACTGATTATGGGCTGATACTAAAAACTCAAAGTGATAATTAATATAATCTATCTGAATCAAAACCACAAACCTGGCTTTAAAGTACATTTTTAATTAACTTGAAAAAAGTGGGAAAATAATAACGAATATGTTGAATAATAATATAAAATATGCCTATCGCCATTTTAAAAAATAAAAATGTCTTACAGTGGTATACTGAAAAAAACTGAAGTACATTACAATTTTAAATTGGCTAAATGAATGAACTTCTGAGAAAACCAATATAAAAAAAAATGTGCTTTAGCCCCGGGTTTAAGGTTTTAATATTTATGAGGAATGTTTTTAGTCTTCCTAGAACTTAATAAAAATATACTTAAAGAATTCTACAAAATTATTGGTTATATCACAAAATTTGAAAAAAGTATAAACTATAAAGAAAACTAACATAAAACTAAAACTTAACACAAAACATCAACATGACTGGCTTCAGTTTCCAAGAATTATACAACTGAAAAAAAATATATAATAAAATAAAATAAGACTTTAGCTTCGAAAAAATAAGAAAACAGATTTGGAAAATAATTAATTCAATATTGTTGTTTTTTTCATAAGTAAAAACTTAATATTGACAAATAAAATCAATAAATTTGTTTTTCTCTATATAATATTAATATATAAATAATTAAATACATAAAGAACTTTAAATGTAATTTGATTTCTTAATTTGCAGCATAATATTTGGTATACAAAACTGAAGCAGAAGGAATGTTAAAACATTTGGCATGTTAAAGCAACACCACTAACACATTTGACTTTCTGCTCTTCTTATGGCCCACCTTACACAGGCATTAGCCCATTTTCTGCCTCTCTTTATAGAGCTTTATCGTTTTCTAAACAATACTACTAAATAAAGCATAAAGAGAGAAGAAAATATATAAAGATCAATCCACAAGGGATTGTCCAGATCCCAGCTTTTTAACAAATAGCTGATGATGAAAGCACCAAGTGAATTAATTTCTTCACGGAAGAAATAAGTAAAGTTAACCTTAAATGTTAAATAAAATTCCATCAGTCAACATGAGCAACTGTTTCATTAATTTCAATAGGGTTCTCAAGATTCTCTGAATTATAGCTTATGTATCTAGTATATTTGACATTTTCAAATTCAATATTAGTATTTATTACAATATGATTATCATTTATTATTTCTGTTTGATGTTCGGGTTGAGATTCCTTGACAGACACGTCATTGAAATCATTTAATCCTTCAAGACGTAACACTATCCTTTTAGGAGGAGGCTTTGTCTTCTTGCGGTTTGATATAATTCTAGAAGTTCTTCGTGAAGGCTGATTATCAGCGTTTTTCTCTGGATTATCATTTTTATTAACCGATGGTTCTATATCTCTTTCAAAGTCAGAATCACTTTCCACTTCCACGTACTCTCTCAATTTTCTTCTTTTTCTTTTAGTTGTTCCAGTTTCATTTGAATTACATATATCACTAGATTCAGAGTTGGATAACTTATTATCAACTTCTAGCATAGGCTTATTATTTTCGTCAATTAAACCCAGAACTTTTGACATCTTTGATAATACAGCTAGATCTACTTTCTTTTTCTTTTTGCCAAATTCTTCATCAGAAATAGAATCATCTGATTCATCACAGTCTTCCTTCTTAGAAGATTTTCCAGCTACAACTGATGACAAGGATTTTTTTCTTCCTTTCGAACGCTTCTCAGTCTCTGTAAAACCTCTTCCATATGTTTTAATAGTATCTTTGTACACTGTATCGATTTCAAGTTCACGTACAACATTAGTTAAATCAAATTCAGAATGACGACTCAGAACTTTATTAATAAGGGATCCATGTAATTTTTCTTCTTTTTTAAATTTGCTTTTCAAATTTTTTCTTGACCTATCAGGAAAAATTGATTGCATAGTTTCAAAATCACATCCTAATGAATTAAGAGCCTTATAAAATTTGATAGTATCTAGGTGCGACCAACCACAACGATTAGGATTTCTGACAGGCTTCCTTTTTTTTAATTCACTGTCAATAACAGTTTCAAAGGTACAATTCTCCAAATTATTAGATGGTTTTATAACCAAACTCTCTTGAGCTACTATCACTTTCCCATCAGCAGAAATTTTTAACTGTGGAACAGGTAAGACTTCATCAGCATTTTCATCTGTTTCCTCACTGTTATTTTCATTACTCTCTTTCTCGGCTGACATATCAACAATTTTCTCCTCCACTTTTTCTGTGTTTCCAGAGTTGTTCAATGTGTTAAGAAGCTTTTTGTCTGAAGATTGTGGCATTGGATTTGTTGAAGGATTGTAGAAAATTAAATCCATCATAGTAAGTTTTGAAGTATCTGGTTCTTGATGTTTCCCAAATTTTTTAAGAAATTGCTCTTTAGCTAACGATCCCATTTTACTGTATGAGGATGTAGTAAATTTTTCTGGTCTTCTGATTTTTCCTAGTGCAGCCACATTAGGTTTAAAATTAACTCTTTGATGGTTACTAACTTTACTAGGGCTTGAATTAGTATTTTTCCCTTCATATTTCTTCCTTTTGTTTGTTTTTGATCCATAATTACTTTTAGCAGAAATGGCCAGCTTATTATTTTTGGATAATTCTAAATTTTCTTTATTAAGAACTTTAGAAACTTTTACAGAGCAAGAATCGTCCACTTCACATTCCAGACTTTTGTTTTTTTCCGGTCTTTTGTTGTCATTAATTATTTTTTTTGAGTCATCTAAAGTAGTTTTATCTTCATCATTCAGCAAAACTTCTTGACTTTCTTTATCAACTATATTATGGATGTCATGACTTTGCAAATTTACTTTCTGACTGCTTTTAGAAGATATTTTGTTCAAAATGTCGTAATTGATCAATTTTGTTTTTCTGTTGGAATCGTCGTCTAAGATAGAAGAATCAACATCATCTTCTGAATCAGAACCAGCTTGTATCTCCAACCCATTAATTGATTTGTTTTGAAATTGAGAAACAGGTGTAGTTGTGTTGGATGAAATTCCATTAAGGTTATCAAATGACATGTTTGAGCAACCAACACTTTGTGATGCGGCATTAAGAAGTAAATCAGCTTTTAAGACAAAAGGTATTGCATTACTGTGATTGTTTGAAATTGACTTGGTACTGATATCTTCAACAACACTTCCAGAGGCATTGTCAACAGATTTACTAAGACTTAATAAGATATCACCTGCTTCGGAATCATTGAGTGATACAGATACATTATCCTTCTTCAAACCAGTTGCCTCTTTACAGGTTTCCTTCTCTCCATTTATTTCTTTTTCTGGTAAGACTTCAGCAACTAATGGATTTGTATTACATGATTCATCATTTTTGTTGCTACAAGCAGCCTTAATAGTTGGTCTGCTATTGTTGTCATCACTCTTGTTTTTTGCAGCTGTGTTAAGCTGTAACTTTGGCTTGAATTTCAATTGTCTTAAGGACATTTTTACAATACCTCAAATACTTAAATCAGTGGCAACAAAATGGCAGGAGAAGGAGAATTCTCCTTTCTCCAAGCACACCATCAAAGTTTCGAATAACGGGCTATAATGCAGAATTTCAACTTATCACATTAAATACATATTATTCTGTCTTATTTTTTTGTAAACTTTTACCTAGTCCTGTAATTCTCTAAACATTCCAGAATATTCAATAAAGCAGCACACACTAGGACATTAATGCAATTCGATGTGTAATAAATAAAATATTTAAATTCACTCAAAATAATAGACAAAGGCACTTTAAGCATAACTATCATCAGTTGAATACAAAGGAGTCAATAAGACAGGTTATAACCCGCACGAGGTAAACTGCTTGAAGGCGGTATCGATGTTAATGGCCTTTGAACATACATGTAGCTCTTTGCAGTTAAAAATGAAAAAAAAAAGACTAAAAACATCATCATCATAAGAATTATAAAACATGATTTTATAACTTTAAGATGATTAGTTATAACATTTTTTTTTAAGCAAAACATAAAATTTATTATTTAAATATTAATAAAAATTATCCTTCCATTTAACACGAAATAATTAAATATTTTTTTTTTGTTTCAAAATATGAATTATTACTTCCCAATATTCTTACAATCAGAATAGAGCTAATGATGACTGTGACGTACTTAGATTATTTGTGCTTCTTCGTGGTGGATTTATTTTTAAGGTCTCATAAAAAAAGTGCCCCCGACCCCCTTAGCCAGGTGGGTTTATTTTGAGGCCAGCTAACAAAACAAAAATCACCATATTTTTATTGTTAATGTTTATTTGAATAACTAACCAAGTGAATTTAAATATATGAGGCGTTCCCGTTGGATTTATGATTTGGCACGTCGATAAATTGTTATTCCTGAATTAAACTGTATTGATACGATTAATTAAATAAGTCTACAAAATTACAATAAAAAATCTTTCGTCTGATTAAAATAAATGTGTTGTGATTTTTTTTTGGAATGAAGATAACATTTAATTAAAAATCAAAACTCCCACGCTGTGAGCCCTCTTAGTATGTGGGGCCCGCGACAGACCTCCCTCTCTATGCACGCCACTAAATGGCGAATAGGTAGATTCAGTCATATGGTTTTCTCTATAGGAGTGAGCAAATAGCAACCATTAGATGAAGGAATACCCAACAATAATATGAATTCCTTTTTAAAAAAAATCTTTTTGCTATATTTGTTTTTCACCTTTAACTTAAAGTATTCAGGTAATATGAATAATTTGTTGTTGTTTTATTATAAATTATCTGTTTTGATAACTGAGATTCTATTGTATCAATTGATTCCCAGGTGCATTATTATCATTTTATACTTATCATATACTTTATTTTTTAGAATTAGATTTCATAATGGTCCGACGAACTATCAACAATTCATGATGTAGAACGAAAAGAAGGGAAAGGTGAAGTAAGATAACGAGGTTAAACGTTTATAATTATTTCTGGCCACTATCTATGCATTTAAGAACTGGAAATTTTATGAGAACTTACCTAATACCATGCGTTTTTCAATTGCTTCTTTTATCTTCTTTTGTCTTCAAAGAAATGAAACCTAGGTTTTTTTTAAAAATTGTTATTTTCGTCATCTTAGCTCAGCTATTGTGTAAGATAGCGAAAAAACAGGGATTTTCAAATATCATAACAAACAAAATAAACAAGAACTCCTATCAAAATTTATTTCCATAAAACTTAAAGAAGAAATATATAACTATCAAAACAACAACTTTTATTATTGAAATATACAAAAAGTAAAATTTATTTAAATACATAAGTCTCATTAATAGGACCTGTGACTGGCGTCTCTCTGGTCTAATTCGAAATACTCAGAATGAGCACAAAGGAGGAACAAGCAACACTGGTACTACATCTATAGTTCGGGAGCCCGTAGCAAAAATGGTGTCTTACTCCGTACTAAGGTTTGTCCTTATAAATTCACCATGTCCAAGGCCTGGTGAGAAAAAATGCAAGTCTGCCATCATATAGCCGCTGGAATACAAAATGGCAGCCAGGTGAGATAGATAGAGGCCCTATATAGGTAGAAAACTTACACATAGAAGGAGCCTATAGATATAGAAAGTTATCAACCTTTCTAATTTAAAGTATTTACTGTAGTAAGTTACCCAGTAACCATTTATTTCAAGTCGAAAATTTGAATTTACTATTCCAAAAATTCACGTTTTTCGATTTTTCGCTTACAGCAGTGAAACATTTCGTTCTAAACATAATAATGTTGTAAAATTAAAGCTGACAAAATTTTCAATGGAAATGGTTATATTATCTTTTTGGCTATCTTCTATAACTTCGAAAAACAGTTGTTTTTGCCTCGCATTTTATCATTATTTGACACCTAACTAGTTTTCTTTTCATTTTATGAAAAAGTCATAATGAAGAAAGTTGTTTAGCATTAAATTATCTTTAAGAATATATATTACTTTACTATCTATCAACAACCATTCAAAAGCTAGAGTAATCATAACTTTATGTTTAAATTCTGATATTATGCAGAAAAAGTTAAATTTCGTAATTTTCGTTATTAAAAAGCTCTTAATCATTATATAGGCCAACAAAAATAAGTTTACATTGCCTTATATAATTTACATACATATATTGAGTTAAATAAACATTAGATTGACCGAAATCAGTAGTAAGAAAAGAATAAAAACTTATATATAGGAGGACATATCTCTTTATTGAATTTTGTTTGTTCAATTCATGGTAGGAATAACAACAAAAAACATGGGTACCTGACAGTGAATGATTTTAAGTCAGTATGATTTTCTTTAGGAGAGTGATATATTAAAGAAAAGACAAAACCAAAAAAGTTCTATATTTCATCAAATCAATTTGTTTGTTTTAATTATAAATATATGTTAGAGAAGACACATTAAAAACAAACAGAAAAATGTTTTGTTGATTTATTTTTTCTCGCTAGATAATTTCCTAAAAAACAGTAACTTAATAACACTGGCGCATCTGGTGGAGAGAGAGACTTTCGGACTGAAGCCCCCAAAATAGTAAAATCTAACCATGTTTTATTAAAAAAAATAATAAAAAATCATCTCTTAAAGTATTATTGTTTGTATAATTACATTTAATAGGACTTCAAGAATCACTTAAATACCATTTCATATTGGTAGTTAATATCTTTTCTTTTTCAAAGTAATTAGCATTTTATATATGAAAAAAAAAGCTTTCGGGCTGAAGCTCCCTCCCAAAATTAAATCCTGGATCTGCTAGTGCTTAATAACATACTTTGTCTTGGTTTTTACAAAAAGTCACTTAATACACTTTTTATGGAGCTAAATTTCTAAGTATTTATTCATGTATTTCAATCATATTTATAAATGAAGAACTCATAAGTGTATAAAAATAACACGATTTCTTGTATCTGCCAAAAATTGGAAATATAAATATATAGACATAAAATATAAATAAAATAGTTACACTAAGTGCCCAATATTTTAATTTCATAGAGCAAAAAGGCACCAAATCACTGGTCATTTAATTATCTAGAATTTTATTTAAGGCCTTCTTGCAATGAATAGATATTTGTTTAATGATCTCAACGATTTCCAGTATAATACTTCTTAAAAGACAATAATTGGTTTTCAATTTAATTTCAGTGAAATACGAAAAGGATATTATTGAAAAAATTATAGAAAAATAAGAATTTTTATTAAATTTTGAATAAGATATATTTAAAAATATATATTTATGAGACTTAAGTAGGAAAGTTGATAATAAAATAAGAATTTCTGAAATATAAAATAAGTAGAAAATTAATACTTATGACATATTTGAAAGAATCATAAAGGATACCCTGCGTTAAAGGTAATCTTTTTTAAAAAAAATTATCTTTCTTTTGTCTAAGTCTTTTAATATCTACATTACTCTTATTGGTGTAGAAAGTAATGCCTTTTAAAAAGTTTAATTTTTGTATACAATATTTAACTAAGCAATAAGCAGAATAACAGTTGACTTACCAGTAATCGACACAAGTTCGACCAGGTAACACACTTCAATGTTTACATTAATTTCATTCTTGCATTTCTTTCTATGAAATAAATATCAAATTAGAGCCTATTTTAATGTTTCCAAATAAAATACCATTACAACTAACTCTTAATAGTAAATAAAAGCTCAAAATATATTCATTTTTTTAGTACTGAAGAAATTGTAATTGATAAGACTGTTGATTCTTATAGCAGAAGTTACTCATGGATTGCTTTCATTACATGTACACAAAAATAAGGAATATTTCTTTTCTTTGTACCTAGTTTTCAGGGATTTATCAGGGCTTAGCAAAGACCAGACAACAAATAAATACAGATAAAATAACAGAAAGATAAATGTAAAAATAATTAGACTTGCTATATAGAAGATATATAGTTCAATTTAACAATCTACATATACTATAATGTTAAGTTTTGTTAATTATGTCTATTATTTTCTTATTATTTATTTTTTATCTGGTCTTTGCTTAGCTCCGATGAAGGCATGAAACTTAGGGCGAAATGTCAGCACAAATAAAATAAATATTATTTATTTTTGTGTACTTCCAATGACTGCAATTCCCAATCAACTTTTCTTATATTCATTGTTTTTGTTAAATTTAATTATTGTAAATATATTTAAATTCACCTCTTAAAAATTTATTAATATTTCCTCAAATATGAAATTCAATTAGTGATGATATCAAAACCAAAAAGTACCTAAAGTCATTTTTAAAAACAGAGATCTAGGTTTTAGAGCCTATATTTATCATAAATTTTTCTTAAAGCTTTTGTTAAGTCGGAATATACATCTTCTATATATTATAGAATGTTTCATGATAGGTATGCATATCGCTACTGTTAGTGCAAAAGTTCCTAACATGTTAATTCTATTTGTGCTAAAGATAACATTTTGTAATTTGCAACTAGAATAAATAGTATGTTACTTTGCAAAATAGTATAGTAATGCAAGGATTATTAAATAATCTTGTAAATACAATATTTTTCAGGAATGTGTAAATCTTAAGCATTTTGAGAACACTTAAAAGTAAAAAATCTTTATAAAATTAAAAACAATATTACCTATAGTGATGAAATGTTCCATTTTAAAACGAAAACAAATACTTTTAAAAAAATAGAAAGAGAATTATTAATTTGTAAAAACAATCTTGTCAATGTAGTACTACCAACATTATACATTCATTCAATGAATTTTTTTTTTTTTTTAAAAGAATCCATATGTTAAATTATACGAAATCTAGAGTATTGTTATCTTAATATTTATTTTCTGATTCATTAAATTAGATCTTGATGTTGTCA